GGTGCTTTCCCAGTGTGCTTTGCTTTTATGATGAAGGAACGGCAGCCACAGTTTAATAGTATTTAAATAGTACCTTGAGGAGTCACCTGGAGAGAGGCACCCAGACCGTGCTGCTTCGAGTCGGGGGCTATCCTCAGGTAGCCGGTGTGTAACCCTCAGAGTTCAGAAACGAGTGCTGCGACACATGCCCTTCCCAGAGCACCGCCAGCACAACACTGAAAGGCCTTTCCGTGAGCCGAGAGCAGGGCCCTGGTGATCCCTTAGAGACCCTGCGTGGGTCCTTCTCTCCCTCACCGTGAGTGCGTGAGAACAGATAAAAACTCGCAGCTTCCCACCTCCCCGCAGCCACCTCTGGAGAGACGGGCTGGAGCCTGGCACAGGAGACTGTCTCAGGGCTGCTCACAGGCACTGTAGCTCCTGATGCTGTTCTGCCGTGGCCCCGGGGCACACCATGCACTGTGGTGTTCAGGAAGGGGAGCAGTCACTGGGAGGTGGCCTTGGTTGTAAGACAGGATGGGAAGTGGTGTGTGCTCTGGATGGAAACTGGCAGATGTTCTGCTCATCTGAGGGCACAGTGGCGCTACACCACCCAAGAGGCATAGGAGGTAAGGTGTGCTTGGAGGGCCTGGGTCAGGGATCACATCCCAGCAGGGAGCCTGTCTTGTCAGTCACTAGTGTTTTCCACAGATGCTTATTTCTGCTTGTAAAGCTCTGAATGTGTTCATGGCCCAAAGCAGAAGCCCCAAGACTTCACAGTGCCCCCAGGCACAGGTCCAGGAGTGCTGTTCACACTGTAACTCATGCTAGGGTGGCAAAGGTCAGCACTGACCACTTCTGGGTCCAAGACCATCCCTTCCCTAACATGCCCGCCATCACCTCTTACTGTTAACATTGTGCCCTGGGAAGGCTCAGGGCCTGCCCGTGCACTGTGTCACAAACCATCTTTTTCAAACTCACACATGGTCATGGTCATGGCTTTGCCTCTCAGCCTGGATGTCCCTATGTCTCCTGCCCACCCTCTCCTCCTGCCCTGACTGCCTCCCAGTGTCAAGTGTCCAACCCCCGCCACATACTCTCTCCAGCATGCTAGACTTCTGTCTCTCTGGTCTACATGCCTTGCTCCTCTCTCTAGGGCACCACACATACACTGGTTTCCTGTTACCAGAGCTGGCTGGCCCGTGTGGCTTCCCCTCTCCATCAAGATCAGCCTGTGGAGCAGTTGGCCCTAGGTAGAGGGATGTGTGTGGAGGTGCCCACTGTCCTTTCTGACCACTTGGTGAGATGTCCTACTTCCAGCTCAGGTTGTCCCCAGCAAGGGGAATAACCAAGTGGCCATTGTGGTAGAGTACTTTGGGAGACAAAAATCAGCGGGTTCAGATATGTCATGTGATGCTTTGAGCTGTTGCTTCCATTTGTCTGTCCTGAGGCAAGGTCTCTTGTATTCTAGGCTGGCCTCCGACTTGCTCTGTAGCCAGAGGTGGCCTTGAACTTCTGATCCTTCTGTTTCTATATCCAGAGTGCTGGGATTCCAGGTGTGCACCACCACACCCAGCTTATACAGTGCTGGGTCTTGAACCCAGGGCCTTATGCTAGGCAGCAGTCTACCGATGGAGCTCCATCCCCAGCCCACCCTTTCATCTCTGAGCACAGAGAGCAGCAGCAGGAGCCCCTGTGGGTGCAGTCAAGCCTCAGCCTCACTGGCTGACAGACCTTGACTAGCTGGAAGCATGGGTTGGGTCCTTTGGTTGTGAGCTGTGAAACACCTGTGAAAATCAAGTGCAAGCGACCAGGAAAGTGGAGGAAAGGGAGTATGGGAGTCTGCAGGGAGAGAAGGCCTTTGGAGCTGCTGAGCTGACTTACAGGCTGTGCTGGGAGCCAGGGAGCCAAAGGCCTAGTAGACTGCAGGTTCTGTCATATTGAGATGCTGTGGTTAGGTAGTAAAGTCCTAATTGCAAGATGTAAAATCCCTTTTCTCATTGCTGTGATAAAAATGCCTCACAAAAGCAACTTCAGGTAGAAGGGTTTATTGTGGCTCACGGTGAGGGCGCAGCCCCTCATGGCGGGGAAGGTGTGATGGCAGGAGCGAGAAGCAGCTGGTCACATTGCATCTGCAGTCAGGAAGTAGAGAGAGATGCATGTGAACACAGCTTCCTGTCTCCTTTTTAAATTACCCACAAGATGGTGTTGCCTGCATTTAGAGTAGGTCTTTCCTGTTCCTTTACCCCAATATCGATAACCACTATAGCCACGCCCAGAGGCTCTGGTGATTCTAGGTGCTGTCCAGTTGACAGAATTACACCTTTCAACTCGGTTGAGTCAGTGGGATTATTCCAGTTTGCTGGCATCTGAGGGCAGGAAGTAAGCCTCTGGTGGGCATGGCCCGCAGGCTTGCACTGGGGCCTCAGCCTCTTCATTTCCTCCGGTCTGTCCCTGCCAGTGCCCTAGTCTGTGATGGCTTCTGATGATACCATCACTTCAATGACCGTTCAGGTGATGGTTTTCTGTTCTGACTTGGATTATGAATACATGCAACTTTCACAAGTCCATTTTGTGTGTATGTGGGGGCCCATCATGGGGTCGAATGTGACCACAAGTACACATGGAAGCCAGAGGAGGAGGTCAGATGCCCTGTTTTGTCACTCACTGCCTTATTCTTTTGAGATGGTTTCTCAGTGAACATGGAGCTAGACTGGAAGCCAGAGAGCCCCATGCCCCCTCCCCAAATGCACACACAGGGCTGGGATTATAGGTACATGTAGCCATGCCCCGCTTTTTCCATTGGTTTTGGGGGTTTGAACTTGGGCCTCACGCTCGCCAGCCAACACTCTTACCCACTGAGCCGTCTTCCAGGGCCTCACAGTTCATTTTCGAGCCATATGAAGCTACTTTTTACATGTCTACCAAATGATCTGCCTAAGAAAACGTTGTAGGGAACCGTGAAGAGGACACTGAGGCTGCCGGCTGCCATGTTAGTGAGTCTGAGGAGTCTCTGTGGTCTGCACACAGGTCTAGCAAGTGTGTGGTTCTGAGAGGCCACCAGATAAGAAGGGACAACGGAGTGAATGGTTTAGGGTTTGGTACTGTGTAGCTCAGGGTTATAGCACTTGCCTAAGGTGATTTGAGCCCTGAGTTCCAAAGGCAATTTATATCCATTTAGCATTTATTAATAGCTGTGGTGGTTGCTGCGGTGTTTGTATTTCCTTTTCTTGCAGAGCAAATCCAGGGCCTTGTGTGTAGTAGGCAAGTGCTCTACCCCTGGTCTATATCCCAGCCCCAGCGGTGGGAGACTTTTAATCAGTTAGTGAACACTTTCTCAATAACAAGTGCTCTACCCCTGGTCTATATCCCAGCCCCAGCGGTGGGAGACTTTTAATCAGTTAGTGAACACTTTCTCAATAACAAGTGCTCTACCCCTGGTCTATATCCCAGCCCCAGCGGTGGGAGACTTTTAAGCAGTTAGTGAACACTTTCTCAATAACAAGTGCTCTACCCCTGGTCTATATCCCAGCCCCAGCGGTGGGAGACTTTTAAGCAGTTAGTGAACACTTTCTCAATAACAAGTGCTCTACCCCTGGTCTATATCCCAGCCCCAGCGGTGGGAGACTTTTAAGCAGTTAGTGAACACTTTCTCAATAACAAGTGCTCTACCCCTGGTCTATATCCCAGCCCCAGCGGTGGGAGACTTTTAAGCAGTTAGTGAACACTTTCTCAATAACAAGTGCTCTACCCCTGGTCTATATCCCAGCCCCAGCGGTGGGAGACTTTTAAGCAGTTAGTGAACACTTTCTCAATAACAAGTGCTCTACCCCTGGTCTATATCCCAGCCCCAGCGGTGGGAGACTTTTAAGCAGTTAGTGAACACTTTCTCAATAACAAGTGCTCTACCCCTGGTCTATATCCCAGCCCCAGCGGTGGGAGACTTTTAAGCAGTTAGTGAACACTTTCTCAATAACAAGTGCTCTACCCCTGGTCTATATCCCAGCCCCAGCGGTGGGAGACTTTTAAGCAGTTAGTGAACACTTTCTCAATAACAAGTGCTCTACCCCTGGTCTATATCCCAGCCCCAGCGGTGGGAGACTTTTAATCAGTTAGTGAACACTTTCTCAATAACAAGTGCTCTACCCCTGGTCTATATCCCAGCCCCATTGGTGGGAGACTTTTAATCAGTTAGTGAACACTTTCTCAATAACAAGTGCTCCCTGGCCCCAATTAGTGAATTTGGGTGGGGGATGGCATTACACATAATACAGCTGACCTTTGGCATTTTGTGAGGGGTGGGCTCCATGACCCTCACTCAGATACCAAAAGTGGTGGATGTGCCCTTATAGGACATGGCACAGTATTGGCATATGGCCTACTGACGTCCTCCCCATAGTCTTGTCACTTCTAGATTAATTTTAATACCTAACACAATGTAAATACTATGAAAATAGTGGTTTTGTATTGCCTGGGGAATAACGTAAAGAAAAGAGGTCTGTATGTGTTTGATACATATGCAATTAAAAATTACTTTCAGCCTTCGGCTGGTTGAGTCCTGGGTATGAATGTGGTGGGTGTGGAGGGCAAAGTGTGTGCAAGCTCAGCCTTCACAAACAGGCAGTCATGGAGTTTTTTATTTTTAGAAGCTGGAATGAGGCTCAAAGAGGCTGCATCATCCCCACTTGAGGGTGATTGTGGAGCAGTCTGCTCCTCCTGGAGCCCTCTGAGCTCCTCACCCACAGCATGTCTTCATCTCTGTGCACGGGGGGCTGTCATGGGCTGCTCTGGCTGGTCAGCCAGCAGGCACTGGTGCTCACACAGTCCCTGCCACCATGTGAAGGTAGTGCCCTGTGTGAAGGATCCTTGCTTGGTGAGGGTCATTTTGTAATGTGAACCTGGGACTATCTACCACCAAGAACTACGCTCCCGCCTCAGCAGCTAACCCAAAAATCCCAGCTTCCCTCTAGAATGTGCAGCCAACAGGAGTAACAGGTCCCTGAAATGTCTCTCCTCCTCCCCAGGTTGACCCTCTACCTAGCCTCTCTCTTTATCAGCCTTATTTTCCTGTTGGTGAATCTGACCTGCGCGGTGCTGGTGAAGACAGGACACTGGGAGAGGAAGGCCATCGTCTCCGTGCGCGTGGCCATCAATGACACACTCTTTGTGCTGTGTGCCATCTCTCTCTCCATCTGCCTGTACAAAATCTCCAAGATGTCCCTGGCCAACATCTACCTGGAGTCAAAGGTAGGGTAGGACTGGGGGTTGAGGTCCTTCTCATGAAACTCTGAAGGTGGCTTCCTGATTTGCAAACAGGATCCAACAAATCTTGTTCACACCTGTCCTTAGAAATGATTAGCCAAGCTGTGGCCGTCAGAGCACAGGGGTGTGTGGTTTGCTGAACTGTCTGCAAGGAGTGTTTGTTCCGGATGGCTTAGCATGTGTTAGGGTGTGCAGATTCCCTGGCTGTTATTTAACTGTTTAAATTTATTTTTTTTATTTGTATTTGTTTTGGGGGGATAAAACTATAAAACCACTTGAATGCTAGGCATGTGTCTGAACACTGAGCTGCAACCTCCTGTGTTTTAAAAATTCTAATTTGAGACAGAATCAAACCCAGGGCCTCACGCATTGCTTGTAAATGCCCTAGCACTGAGCTGTATCCCTAGCCCCTTAAAAACTTTTTGAGACAGGGTAGTTGCTCAACCTGGCCTTGAACCCACTCTGTAACCCAGGTTGACCTTGAACTTGTGACCCTCCTGCCTCAGTCCCCCAGTAGCTGGGATGACAGGTCTTCGTCACCCAGTTTGATGAGGACTGTAGTGTACAAGCTGACCTCGGCCTCCCATTTTCATAGGAGTAGGTGGTGGTATCATCTCTACTTTGTGGGTAAGGAACTCACGGCATAGAGCTCAGGAAGCTTGTCCCAGGTCACTGCTAGTGCAAAGGCTAGATACAGACTAGCTATCACGTCAGGGCCCATGGCGTTCACCTCCTGTCCTGCCTCTGTGGTGACTCTGATTCAGGTGTCATTCTCCTTGAGGTGGAAAGGCTCCTGAGACTTGCTCTGAGATGGAGCCAGAGCAGGGGGGATGCTCCTGCCTCTTCTCTCCACCACAGTGCCTTGCCCTCCGTTTTGTCCTTTCCTATCCCGAGTTGTAAAGGAAGGTAAAAATGCAGATACTCTGTGGTACCAAAGTGATTCTGGCCAGCCAGCTGTGGTACCAAAGTGATTCTGGCCAGCCAGTTCTCCGAGTCTCCTTAACTGACTTGAGGGCCCAAACTTGAGCACGAGAAGCCTGGGAGTTGGGAAGGAGTGCTGGACTGTGGCTAGTGGGGGTTGAGGGATGACGGACCCCCACCTCCACCCTCACCTGACCCTATCACTTTTCTGGATCTGGCTTTGTCACTTGCAAAATGGCTGATTTCTCCAGAGCCTCTGCTTCTGAGTTCAGAGTTTGTGTTCTCTGTGATGGGTCTGCTGGTCCCCTCCTTTCCCTGGGACGCTTGTAGCCCTAGTATGCCCTTGGTCTGAAGACTGTGTGTAGCTGTGATCAGTAGATGGCTTTAGATTTTGAAGCACAGAACCTTCACAGGTCACCCTGTGATGTAGCCGAACTCCTGAAAACCCCACATTAGCTAGACTGAGTTGTTTGTAAATTCCAATGAATTTTACCCTCAATTTTGCTTTAACTTTCTGCTTATCTCACAAAAGGATTTTAAGTAAAATTGCAATTTAGGCGGGTATGGTGGTGCATGCCTTTGATCGCAGCCCTAGCGGGGCAGAGGCAGGCAGATCTCTGTGAGTTCGAGGCCAACCTGGTCTGCATAGTGAGTTCCAGGCCAGCTGGGGCTACAAGGAGACCCTGTCTCAAAAAGACAAAAAAGAAAACTGCAATTTCTTTTTTTTTTTTTTTTTTAATCAGGGAGAGATGAAGCTGTAGATTGTCAGATACACTTGGCTTACCCCTGTGACAAAATGAAAGGATACTTTGGATTTAGTTAATATTCCCAAATGCAGAACTCAAAATTCAGCTTGCTTTTTTTGTGGCCCTGTAAACTATCTGTTCTAGCTAGGGGCCTTTAACTTTAGAAACTGATAGTTTCATAAAGAAGACTGAGCCACAGGTATCCGAATGACGCCAGGCTAGAGGCCCAGTAGGACTCCTGCTCCCCAGCCTAGAAGGCACTGGACTTTAAGAACATGTGCCTTCTGTGTGGTCTGCAGCTTATACCCCCTGTGAGACTTAGATGTATGCCCTGAACCAGGGGCCCTGGCCTGGGCTTACCTGCTGCCGGACTGACCAAGATCTTGTTACTGAGCAGTAAGACTCAGAAATTTAACAAGACCTATCAAGGCCTTGGGCTGGGGTGATGGCTCAGTTGCTAAAGTGCAACAGAGACCTAAGGACTGAGTTCAGTCCCTCGGAAGTCAAGAAAAAGCTGGGGGTGGTGCATGCCTTTGATCCTAGCCAACACTTGGGAGGCAGAGGCAGGTGGATCTCTGTGAAATGGAGGCCAGCCTGGTTTACATAGCAAATTCCAGGCCAGTTGGGGCTACAGGAAGATTGTCCTAGTTTTTCTTCATTGCTGTGACAAAATATTCTGACCAATACCAACTTGGGGAGGAAAGGGTTTATTTGTCTTACATCTCACAGTTCATCAGTGAACCCAAGGTAGGAACTCAGGGCAGGAACCTGGAGTCAGGAGCTGGCACACAGGCCATGGAGGAGTGCTCCTTACTGGCTTGCTCCCCGAGCCCATGCTCAGCCTTTTTTTTTTTTTTTTTGTCTTTTTGAGACAGGGTCTCCCTGTAGCCCCAGCTGGCCTGGATTCACTATGGAGACCAGGCTGGCCTCGAACTCAGAGATCTGCCTGCCTCTGCCTCCCGAGTGCTGGGATTAAAGGCATGCGCCACCATGCCCGGCTCAGCCTGCTTTCTTGTACAACACAGGCCCACCTGCCCAGGGATGGCACCACCCACAGTAGGCTGGACCCTCCCACATCACTCAACAATCAATGCCCCACAGACATAGTCACAGGCCAGACCAATGAAGGCAGTTCCTCAACTGAGGTACCCTCAACCCAGGTGTGTCAAGTTGACACTAAAGCTGTCCAGCACAGAGACCCTGTCTCAAAAGAAGCAAACAGCTGAGTAGTGATGGCATGTGCCCGTCACCCCAGTGCTGGGGTGGAAGGGACAGGAGGGTCCCTGGGGCTTGCTGACCAGCCAGACCACCCAGTCCCGAGTTCTATACAAAGATAACTGAAATTTGAGGAAGGGATGCAGATGCAGCAGGGCCTGGGGTTCTGGCAGACCTGGCCACCTGCCGTGCCTCTCAATTATCCAGGTTTACTGGGTAACTCCAGGGAAGGTGAGGGAAGGGGCTCACCCCTGCTGGTTCTCTCTCACAGGGCTCCTCAGTGTGTCAAGTGACTGCCATCGGAGTCACTGTCATCTTGCTCTACGCCTCTCGGGCCTGCTACAACCTGTTCACCTTGTGGTTTTCTCAGATCAAGAATGTCCGCTCCTTTGATTACGACTGGTACAACGTATCGGACCAGGTCAGTTGGGGCACAGTGAGGTGCTGCCTGCTTGGGACCAGGTCAGTGGAACATGTTGAGTCTCGGCACAGAGACCAGGGCAGTGGGCCATGGTGAGGCACTGCCTGCAGAGACCAGGTCAGTGGGATAGTACACAGCAGGGTGGTACCTGCGTGGGGTCCAGGTCAGTGGGATGCTGCAAGGCACTGCTTGCTGGGGACCACTTGTTTCGTGGGGCACGGCAGAGGGCCAGGCCAAAGATAAGGTGGCCTGGAGAGGCACTTGCCTATGTGGCGTCTTCACCCTCATTTCAGATAAAGCACCTACCTTGTACATTCACATATCTTCCGAGAAAACAAGATTAGGTGTGTATGTACACAGATGTATGCATGAGCCCAAACATGCACATACTTCACACCCCCTTCCCCCTTGTGGGACTCTTGTCAAGAAAGACTTATCTTCTGGGTTTGTTTTGTTTTGGAGACAGGGTCTACCTGCAGCTCCAACTGGCCTGGAACTCATTATGTAGACCAGGCTGTTGAACTCAGAGATCCCCCTGCCTCTTGCTCTTGAGTGGTGGGACTAAAGATGTGTGCCACCATGCCCAGTCAAGAAGTATGACCTAAAATGTGCTTCCATTATAAATGTAACATGATGTTATTTTGTTCATTGATATTTTCTGTGTATGAGTATATTACCTGTTTGTATGGATGGACACCCATGTCTTGCAATACATGCAGAGTCCAGAAGAGGGCATCAGATCCCCTGGAACTGGCTGGAGTTACAGATAGTTGTTAGCTGCCTTGTGGGTACTGGGAACGAACCTTGGGTCCTCTCGAAGAGCAGCCAGTGCTCTTAACCATTGAGCCATCTCTCCAGCCCCCATGATGTTATTAAAAAATAGAATCTGCAAAGTTGATTTTGGGTTTAAGAAATGCCAGAAATTAGGTTCCAGGGATCGAATCCATGTTGCCAGGCCTGCACAGCAAGGTCCTTTATACCTGAGCTATCTTGCCTGCCCAGTTCTCTTTAGTACATTCCACAAGTTCTTAAGTGTTTAAACTATAAAGCAGATGGACAAAAGCAATGAGATGTCCTCCTGCTTTGGTGTTCATAAAAACTCAAGAGTAAGTTGGAGAGATGGCTCAGTGATTAAGAGCACTGGCTGCACTTTTGCAGAGGACCCAGGTTTGGTTCCCAGCACCCACATGGCAGCAAACAGTCACCTGTAACTCCAGTTCCAGGGGATTAGATGCTCTCTTCTGGTCTCCACGGGCACTGCATACATACATGTAGGCACACACACATAAAAACCTTTTAAAAAAAAAAACCCCTCATATCTAATTAATAAGCTGGCATTTACTCATTTGACAAATACTCTATTTTTTTGCTCGTGTCCAACACTGAAAGAAGTTCTGGGCATATAAAAATGGACTCCCTTCCCTGCCCTGTGGGAGTTGATGGCCCACTGTAGTGCAGAGATACACATAACCCAATCCAGTGAGAAACGAACCCCTCTGGTAGGACTTATTTGCAATGCTCCTCAGAGTTATCTAGAAAAACACTGTATAAATCCACTTCTAAACTCCCATCAGTGCTCATGATTACAGCTGATTTAAAACAATGGGATAAAAATAAAATGACCAGGGCTGGAGAGACGGCTCAGTGGTTAAGAGCACTGGCTGCTCTTGCAGAAGACCTGGGTTCAATTCCCAGAACTCACATGGCAGCTCACAACCATCTTCAACTCCAGTTCCAGGGAATCTGAGGCCCTCTTCTGGCCTCCATGAGCATTGTGTGCACAGGTGCAGTTACACACATACAGGCAAAACACTCATATAAGATCAAAATAAATATATATAAAAAAATTTAAAGTAAAATGACTACAACAAGCTAAAGCTTGGAGACAAGTGAAAGCCCCAAGAGGTCACTGAAGAGATAAAACATCCCATAACCCAGCCACCCCTACCAAGCCTGACCCACAGGTGCCAAGTGGGAGAGAGCAAGGGTACTGGGGTGTGTCTAAGCCATTAGAGGAGTACACAATACACAGAGAATTGGTTTTCGTTGTAGGGTATGCGTACAATCCACTAGGATAACAACTTCCAGGTGAGCAGTTCAGTGGACTGATGTATAGCTATGTTGTTCAATCATCACCACCATCCACTTCTGGAACTTTATTATCGTCCCAGACTGCAGTTCCATTAAACCACACATGTGGTCTTAACAACAGTTACTTCCAGAGCTGGGGAGATTGCCCAGTGGTTAGTTAGCATTTGTCATGCAAGTGGAAGGATCTAGTTCAGATCTCCAGAATCCACACGACTACCAGGAGGTATGGTAGCCAGCCTGTAGCTCCAGCCTTAGGAGGAAACAGGGCAGCTGGCTAGTGAGGCTAGCCATATCAGTGAGCTCTGGATTTGAGACCCTGCCTCAACCTTAAGACCTCCAGACGCATGTGCACCTACTCACACACGTGCAAAAATGTGCGGGGCGGGGGGAGGTTACATCATTATTCTTTCAATCAAGAACTTGAAACACCCATGATTTAGGTTTCTGAAATCGTTTTTAGAGGCTGTTGTCTCCCTGCGGCAGTGCGGCTTCTTAGTGAAGGGAAAGCTGTCTAGTCTAGGTAGGAGTGGGATGAGATGGCCAGTCACTGTGCTTCCAGAGTGATGTGCTAGAGAAGGCAAAAGGAGGAGGCTCTGGTTCAGTGCATGCTCCTTTGCACGGGTCTTTCTGAAGAGCCGCCCACATGCAGCCCCTCTCTACTTAGGGACCATCCATCTTTGAAAAGAGAACAGTCATCCAGCCCCTTTGCCCATCTCCCTGGGCCTACGAGCCAAATGCTGGAGGACTGTCTTGCTCTGAGGAATGTTTCTGGATAAGTGAGCCTGAGATCAGATTTCATGGGTAAAAAGTGTGGCTTATGGAAAGAAAAGCTTAAAATGGCCATGTTTATCCTAGGGATGGATTAAGACTTGGGACTGGAAAGCTGCTCTCAAGAATTTACTAGGAGGCAGGCACTGGGGCTGTGTGGCTCAGGGGCAGAGCCCTTGCTGAGCATGTACAAGGCTCTGGTCCCTGAATGAACTGTAAAAATAAATGAACACACAAGCTACACCCCCTAGAAACATAGCAACCTAACAGTCTTACTGTTGGATTGGTGATGCAGACCCACCTACATTGAAGTGAAAGTTAATTTGGACACACAGGTTTTTTTGAGGGAAGAGGTGAGATCATAAAACATCAGATGCTAGGAGTTGGTTTTTGAGTATTTTGAAGAAAACCATCCATCCTCAATGGTTTAAGTAAGTAGCCCTCCAGCCAAGACCTGACCCATCGCTATGACCAGCCTTCAAATGCAGGCTTTAGGGAAAGTATCTAGGACTGTCCTCTATCTAATTTCCTCCACACTGTCTCCTGACTCTGTTTCCCCTTTCTTCCTTCAACAGGCAGATCTGAAGAACCAGCTGGGCGATGCTGGCTATGTAGTTTTTGGAGTGGTGCTGTTCATATGGGAGCTGTTACCCACCACTTTGGTTGTTTATTTCTTCCGAGTCAGAAATCCCACAAAGGACATTGTAAGTCCCCCACTTGATGTCTGGAGGCACCGTCACATCCTGCGTCTGAAGCCGACAAGTCAAGGTTTTCCCTAGTCTTTCAGTAGCCTCTCTCGTCCCGTCATGGGATAAGAAATCCTGTGACTATTAAGATCTTTCCCTCTCAATTCTTGGAGGTGATTATTCTTAATGCCACTCAGCATTCACTGTCCTCCAAACACACAGTTCTTTTAATAAAAATGGGGTGCTGACTTGGCAGAGTGCTTGCCTAGCACGCAGGAAGCCCTGGGTTTGATCCTCAGCACCACCTAAAAGTAGGCATGTAATCCCAGCACTGGGAGTGGATTCAGGAGGACCAAGGTTCATAGTCACCCTTGGCTAAGTAGTGAGGTCAAGGCTAGCCTGAGATACTTGAGACCTTGTCTCCAAAAAAAACGAGTAAAAAAGCAGTCAAATCAGGGTGATGGCAGCAGTTCATGAGGGAGTGGGAGAGCAGGGCAGTACAAACATCTTTATGACCAGTGCTAAAGCCACTGCCCCATTTTCTGCTCAACCAACATCAGACATACGTCTTTGTGGGGGCAGAAGGGAAACTCTCAAATGTGGTCAGGTGTGGAATCTCCTGGGAGCCTTTCTGCTCTCTAGTTCCTGAACTCAGAGCAATGAGGACACAACTGCAGCCCCGCAGTGCACAATTATTTCACATCCAGAGAGCAGTGATTCTCTGCATAGTCACCATGCGCCAGGTGTAGAAAAGAGAGGCTAGGGTGAGAAGGCACAGCCTGGCCGTGCATGTGTGGACAGAGAATGGACGTGGCTCAAGCTCCTGTCTGGGAGAACTACAGCACTGTGCACTTGAAAGTTTGGAGAATCCAGTTTGGGGGCAAAAAGAGGATGAAAGGATTGAGCAGCATACTGAGGTGGGAGCAAACCCTCTCCAGGTGATCCCAAGTTGTCACACAGGTGTCCACATGGACTATCTATCTGCTTTACTTTGGAAGTTTGGGGGGATTTTTAAGAGTCTTGCTGTGGAGCCCTTGAGGCAAACCTCAGCCTCCCAAGGGCTGATGTTACAAGCATGATCCTCCACATCTGGCTAATGTGGGCATGTTCAGTAAGGGGCTAAACAGTTATCATTGGAAGAGCAGTAGGTTTTTATCAGCGAATGTTAATTATAGTGGATCTCACTGACATTTTCGTCTCCCACCAACCCCTTCCTAACTAGTCGTCCCACTTCCATGTCTTTTTGTAACTGCGGATTTAGATCCTAAGGCTTCATGAGCCCTTCCCTCCTCCATGATACAGTATTAATTTGGGGGTTGGGGCTATAGCTCAATTGGTAGGGGGCTCACCTAGCAGACAGGAAGCCTTAGGTTTGATCCCCAGCACCTGAGAAGGGGAATCAGGAATTCAAGGTCATCCTCAGCTGTATACAATTTGAGGCCAGTCAGGGATACACGAGTCTTTAAAAACAAAACATTAAAAAAGGCTTGTGCAAATACACTGAGCACTCCAACTGAAAGGAGCGACCTCAGCTCCCCTGTAGGACGGCCTCTGTAATGCTGGCCAGCTACTGGCCTGCAGAACGTCTGCATGTGTGCTGAGTGGTAATTTCTTCTTTTAGACCAATCCTGGGATGGTCCCCAGCCATGGATTCAGTCCCAGGTCTTACTTCTTTGACAACCCCCGAAGATATGACAGTGATGATGATCTGGCCTGGAACATTGCCCCTCAGGGCCTTCATGGAAGGTGAGACCTGCTCCTGTGGGAGGGCTGGCCGCTGGAATGATCAAATTAATTTTAACATTTTAGTTTTATTTTTTTGTATGTATGAGTGTATCGCCTGGATGTATGCGGGTGCACCCGTGTCGTGCATTCCCACGGAGGTCAGAAAAGCGCATCGGATTCCCCTGGAAATGGAGTTAAGGATGGTTCATAGGCCACCATGTGGGTGCTGGGAATCGAATCCGTGTTCTCTGCAAGAGCAGTCAGTGCTCTTAACTGCTGAGCCATCTCTCCAGCCCCTGGGATGATTAAATTGAAGGACAGCTCTGCACAGCATGAGTAGCTGGGGGGGCCCACGGCAGCGTTTGGGCTACAGATTAGGGAAGTGGCCAGATATGAGAAAGAACCTACACAAGATGTGTAACTTTAAAAGCCTGCTTCCCTTAGCACTTCTCCTCCACCATACTCCAGAGCGCCATGTCCTTACTAGGTGTGCTTTAAATTGATGGAATGTGCAGCGTCTAAAGGAAAATCAGCCTTTGAAAATTATAGGACCTCTCCGAGTCTACCAAGGGAGAAACAGATTTTGATGAAATCACTCAGTGAAACATGATCTAGGAAATCCAGCCACACATCTTAGATTCTGTTCTAGAGCCAGGGAACACATGATCATTTATTAGAGCAAAAGCCACCACTTGTGTGTCATTAAAAACAATTTTATGTTTTGCCTGCATGTAAGTGCACTGCATGCGGTGCACATGGAGGCCAGAAGAGGGCATAAGATCCCCTGGAACTGGAGGTATGGGTGGTTGTTAACCACCACATGAGTCCTGGGGACCCAGCCCCAATCTTCTGCAAGGGCAGCCAGTGCTCTTAACCAATGAACCATCTCTCCAGCCCCTACATGTAATTTCTTAAGTATATACTATGTACCAGACACCATTCTAAGATACAAGCATCACCTCATTCAGTGCAACAGTCTGTGTTGTCAGTACTGTTGAGTCTTCCTAGTTGAGATGAAACTACGTGGGTAAGGGGCTTGTCCAAGGCCAAAGGCTCTCTCGTTAGGCTGGGCACTAGTCCTGGCACTCGTTCACACCTGTGCAACTGCTTGAAGTGTGTCTGGATCTTACAGTGCTTGTCTGTGCTGGAGTGCCTCCTTTCTTGAAAATTCACTTGCAGATTTGGCCCAGAATATTTTGGGGTGCACGGTTGAATTTAAATGGTGTATGAGAGAAAGTAAGTGACCTGCACTGGGCTGCCTTCACCTGATTCCCAAAGTCAAGACAACTAGGAAGGGGACGCCCCCACCAATCCCCTTTTGCCCTCAACCTGTTCACGGGGGGCCTCCTCTCATCCTGTGCATCCGGGATCCAAGGCCAGCAGTTGGATCTGTCTAGTGATCAGGGGCCCGAGGCCATCCTTTGAGCTTGAAAACTTAAATTTTATATCTTTGGGGATGAAGTAAGAGAAAGCTCTGCTCTACGGTGAGTCCTTAAATCTGTGAAGATCTCAGGACTTTGTTTTTGGGTACAGGAGAACTGTGGCAGAACACACTGTCTCAGGGAATGAGGGAGGAGAGACTCCTGGGCTGACCAGCAGATGAAAAGTAGGTAATCTGGAAGCAACCCAATGTACAGAGCTTCTCAAGGGCAAAGGTTATCCTCAGAATCCGAGTTCTTCCTTTTCCTAAAACTGGTCTCTGATCTAACTGCCATGCTGGAGCATCCCTAACCATTACTTGCCACAAGGTACCAAGGGCAGAGGCAGAACAGAGAGGAAAAAAGACCCCTTTTCATGGTGCCGAGTTCTAGCTACACCTTAGAGCTGCTCTTAACTCGTCCCAAGAGAGTTCCTAACACCACTGCCTCCCCCGACCCCATGAGGAGGGGAGAACTACATGCTGCCCTGAATTCAGACTTTTTTTTGCCAAAAACTTATCCCTAGTGGCTGTTTTTGGGTTCTAGTAATCAACTTGTGCAGGCTGCTGGCTCTGTGCACAGCTGTTTTGTGGGGAAACAGGCTTCAAGAAGCCAACCTAAAGAACAACTCTGGGGTGGTTCGCTGCTAAACTAGACACGCCATAGGTACATAGTAACGTTTTAAGCCACTTAACAACTTTGTTTCTTTTAAGTTTTGCTCCAGACTGCTATGATTGGGGACAACAAACTAACAGTTTCCGGGCACAAGTTGGACCTTTCCAACAAGACTCAGCTTCGGTCCAGACAAACGAAGCCAGGGGCAGCACCAGCTGACAGCTTCCTCTGTTGAAAACCTTCAGAAAGACCAACTGGATGACAGCTGAGTTTTTTAGGGCACTTTTCATTATGACATAGGACTTGATTTTTGTTACAGATTTCTAATGGCTCCATAGGACTAAGCAATAACTTAGATTGATAAACTCTTATTTTAGCACTGGTAAGAGAGCCTGGCTAGTGGGTATAATTTAAACTTCTTACAGAAAATCTGTACTTTTATGAACATTTTATATAACTTACTACTAATGCTAAAGTATAGTAGGGTTTTATTTGTCATTGCAATATATGTTGTAGTTTGCACAGTCTTTCACACATAATTCACTTTAAAAGATACAATGTGCCGGGCATGGTGGCGCACGCCTTTAATCCCAGCACTCAGGAGGCAGAGACAGGAGGATCTCTGTGAGTTCAAGGCCAGCCTGGTCTACATAGTGAGTTCCAGGACACCTGGGGCTACAGGGAGACCCTGTCTCAACAAACAAAACAAAAAACCTGTGTGGTCTAATTTTTAAAGGCTTCTGGACTAAAATTTCTTCGAATACTTACCTCTGAAGGCCAGTGAGGACCACTCTGTGAGCTCCACACTGGCAGACTCCTGAAGTGGACATGCCATAAACTAGCTGCTGCTCCAGTGTAAAGTTTACAGGAAGCAGCACCCGTTTGCCGTAACGGGCTCGGCAGAAGTTACTCTTCAGCATGGCCTGAGGTCTGCCACCTTCTCCCTCAACCAGCACTACTCTGTACACTCCAGTGGCAATGGGGCACTGCTAAGATGTAGTGGGCTCACTATTAAACCTCTGCTGTACAGACTGTGATTCTGTATAATTTTTTTCAGACCAATGTAACTGAATACCCACTATCTCAGTAGGAGGGGAGACCACGCCTTCCCTGACTCAGCCAGCAGTCAAGAGGTCTCCACGGAGTGTTAATATCTTTGGCCCTTGAGCCGGAGGACTATGGACTGATCGTTTTTCTGTAAAACATGCCTGTGATGTTCACGAGACCGATGTGGCCTATTCTTAAATTGGGTGCTCATCTGCCCAGTGGAAGCTGCAGGTTTGACGGTGTGGTGGGATGCTGGACACCTCTCCACGTGTGCCACTGCCATTCTCAGAGCTCCCCTAGGTAGCTCTGGAGCAGAAACTGCCCTCCAGGAGGCCAGAGGCTCAGGTTTTTCACAAAGAAGATCTGTTCTGAGTCAAGTACTGTAGCCAGGGCCAAAAGACAGTTCCCTGTGGCTCAAGGCCAAGTAAGGGCAAACTGGATAGGCCTGGGGGTGAGTCCCACCCGCTGGCTGAGGCCCACTTCACACAGCTCACCTGCTGTCCTAGCCTTTAGGAACAACTAGTCTCTGGGCTTCAACTTCCCAGGGACATGTATACTTCCCTTATTTTGATGTATTTAAAATTGGGATTCCAAGTTTCAAATGGGTCATGGTTGGATTTTCATGGTGTAGAACAGAGTTTAAAGACCATGCATAGCCCCTCACCACATCCTTGCCTTTCAGTATGGGCAAGAATCTGTCTCACCAAGCATTTAAAAGAGTTATTTGCCAGGGAGAATTCTACACTGAAACAAAACCTGCTCCACTTACCTAAAGTATATCAACAGTTTACAGTAACAGCTTGTAAGACAATGATCTGTCCCTATACCCACAAGAATTTCAGCCGATACACACTGTACCCACAGCTCTTGTCTTCAATAGGCCTGCACCTTCAGCAGCCAAGCGCAGATACTTGAAAAGCACAGCATCGCTAAGATCATTCTGTATGCACTCATCCCACAGTACATGCAGACTACATTTCTGTGACTAGCAAGAAAACAGATACCCAACACCACCCAGCAGGAGCCATGATGCACTTTATGATAAAGTTGTATCTCAGCTTTTCTCATTGTTGCTGGAAAGGACAAAATAGGACTATTCCTGCCTTGTCCTTTTTAAAAGTGTCGCCAACATATGCTGGAACCAAAACACAATCACGTCTGACGCGTCCAGCAGACTGCACACGGGGAAAGGGATCTGCGATTCCTTTGAGCGTCTCACTCCTAACAAAACAGCATCTTCCGTGGAAGATTAAACATGAAGAGGGAAAAGAATGATTTCCAGCTCATGTTTGAAACATGAAATTAAAGCCGTAATGCTAAAGTTTAAAATATGCGGGACCAGGCATAGTGCTACACCTATAAGGCCAGCACTGGGTCTCACGTTTGAGGCTGGCCTGGGCTACACAGCAATATCCTGTCTCAGAAAAGGGGCAGTATCACAGAAAATTTGGTACCAGCCCTGAAGTCTGTTATAATGTGAAAAGGCCACAAGTGAATGTTTTTCAGCACCAAAAGAGACATGTGCCTGTGCAGCTAAGAATTCTAGCAGGTCTACATACATACATACCTATCGTTGACTGGCACAGTTAACATCTGGAGTGTCACACACAGAGCTGTGAACTACAAGAAGTTATTACAGCATGCGTTCCAGTCACATTTAGTCTTACTTTTGGCGGCAGCAGGGATGGAATCCAGGGCTTAGCTCATGTAAGGACACATGCTCTACTACCGAACTACATCCTTAGCCCTTGCCAACTGTCTTGACCATGTCAGACACATGCATATAGCTGTGCTGGTCTCATGTTCAGATCAGGCAACTCGAGAGCCTCCCACATCCCTCCTTCAAAGCTCAACACAGCCAACTGCTTTTTGTGGGCACTGATGTTGAGCCAACACTCAATCTTTACAAAGAGCAGTTATTCACTTGGGCATCAGAAGAACCGTGAAGAGAAACTCATTTAATCTACGTAGTGGATATTACTAGAACATTGTGCATGCAGAGATCTATACATGCCCACTGGGGGTCAAACCCAGGGCCTTAAACTTGCTAGGCAAGTGCTTTGCCACTGAGCTATGTCTCAGCCTCTGTTTTGTTCTAATACAGGTTTACCCATTAAAAATAATTAGGTATAAGGATTGGAAAATTGGGGGGCTGGAGAGATGGCTCAGTGGTTAAGAGCACTGGCTGCCCTTGCAGAGGACCTGAGTTTGAGTCCCAGCACCCACATGGTACCATCTATAACTCCAGGTCCAGGGGATGATGTCCACATCTGACCTCTGTGGGCACTGCATGACATGGGTGCACCTACCTACATGCAGGCAATACACATAAAATAGAAATATTTTTAAAAAAGAATTAGAAAATTGATCAAGATTTTCAAGTAAGCAAACTATTTTAGAGGTTTGCTTTCACTTTTACTGGGCAGAAACCTAAAGTCTAGTCTGGTGTAGAAAGACCTACATTCACTTCCATCTTTATCCTATGTGAGAACTGTATTAGAAGAGGCTGGAGAGATGGCTCAGTGGTTAAGAGCGCTAGCTGGGACCTGGTTAGGTTCCCAGCACCCACATGGCAGCTAACAACCATCCTTAGCTCCAGTTCCAAGAGATCCGATGTACTCTTCTGACTTCCTCAGGCACTGCATGCATATGGTATGCATATAACATATAGGCAGGCAAAACATTCATATATGTAAAATAAATAAAAAAAATTATTGTATTAGAAACATTTCACAAAAATGAGTGAGCTACTTACAACTTCAGATGGGTTACAACTTCTGTGTTGAGCTTTGGAGGAGGAATGTGGGAGGCTCTTGAGTTGCCTAATCTGAACATGAGACCAGCACAGCTATATGCATGTGTTCAGAACTGTTGAAAGGGACAGACAAAAATCACGGAATTCTCATCAAAGACTAAACTAACAAGCCAATTAGTGAGAAAACCTGTTTTCTCATGGCAATTAGGACAGGCAATGGAATTCATTGTCTGTCTTTGTTGTGCTACACTGACAGGTGTCATGTGTCTGAGTTTATACACAAGGGGGGACACACGTTACTTTTGGCAAGGACACATGAAAATCCCTGTCCCAAAGGATCAAAATACCCAGTATCTGCTGTGTCTCTGCACTCCAACCTAGATTGGTGTTGGATCCTCTGTACCTTTGTCTCATCCTCAGCCATGGGTGGGTGCCATGTTCACTTCAGGTGGAGTCACGTAGTCCAGGCTTATGGTCCTGGGATCCATGTGCCGGCCTCTCCAGAGCTTGACCTGCTGCTGGACCTGTTGTGTTCTCTGATGCCGATACCTTACTAGTGGCTTCTTTTCCTCCAAACCTCATCTGCCTCACCACTCAAAAGCTGAGTCCCTATACTCAGAAGAGGCTTTGTTTCTGAACTTTAGCCTAGTCAGAACTGGACTCCAGAGGCCCACTTTCTTCAGCACATACGGACTATAAAATTCCTCCATTTCCTGTTCGCATGACTTTTCTATGAACCTAACACCCACCAGTCCTTCCCCAGTCATGGTGTTCTAGAAGACCAAGTATAAAAGGGTGCATTTAGATGAACACATCCCCAGGGCCACTGCATCTGCATGACTTAGCACCCTTTATGTACTTCCCATGAATCCCTGGCCCCGTGCAGGTCTCAGGTCTACAGAGCACCTGCTAAATGCTGCAGGACACTTGCTCAGTTATAGGTCCATGCTAGGCAGGGTGGCTAGAAATGTGTCTTGGTGAGGCCGACTTTGCCCTGACTGGTGGATGCAGTGTGCTAGCATCTGGAGGCCCCTGTGGCATAGTCGTATGGAGTGCACCTGTGCTCCTGGGAACATAGTTCTATGTGGCGCATGACCTCTTCAGTGGCATTTTCTTCCTGTTGTAGTCTTGCTATCAACAGAATGGACTGTGGTTGGGCTGTGGAAGGCCAAGCTGCATGGTGGCAGGCGTTTGTCTCATTCATGGCTACAGACCCTATACACTCAAGAAGCGAAATCCTGTTCTTTGAGCAGATGTCCTTTTAAAGGTAACTTTCACACTTGCACTGTTATCGAGTTTAGCATTCATTGACGGGCTCCCCCTTGACTTATGAGTCTCTGTCAGCTATCCAACTTATGCAAACAAATGGAGAAGTTCCTATATATATGCACTGTATATGAATGACAAATATGTATATGAAAAAATATATAAAGATAAGCCCCAAATCATTCCTGGAGACCAAGTGTTTTTTAAAAAAAGATTTTAAGTTTTTATTCTTTTTGGTTTTTTGAGACAGGGTCTCCCTGTAGCCCCAGCTGGCCTGGAACTCCCTATGTAGAACAGGGTGGCCTTGATCTCAGAGATCTGCCTATCTCTGCCTCCTAAGAGCTTGGATTAAAGATGTGCACCACCACATCCAGCTTTATTTTTAATTGTACGTATGTCTATGTATCTGAGGATGGGTATGTGCACAGGAGTGTAGATGCCTGCAGAAGCCAGATGTGCTAGATTCCCCTGGAGCTGGAATTAAACAGGTGGTTGTGAACCACTCAACCTGCTTGCTGGGAACTGAACTGGAGTCCTCTGAAAGAGCAGCATCAAGTGCTCTTAACCTCTGAGCCATCTCTCCAGCCCCAGGACCAAGTCTTAGAAGACCAATTCTGAGCACTTGTATCTCTGCTGAGTGTTGTTATCTCTACTTACTGTCCCATATAGCAAGTAGGATATGGAAGTACGTACCCAGAGTAGTTAGAAAAAACCCAAAAGGATCTCTACTGTGCGAAAGTGGATTAGAGAATACAGACATGGAAGGGCTAAAAAGTGCAACATCTGGCTGAGCTCAGTGGCAGAAAGCTTGCCTAAGGTGCACGACGCCCTGGTTCCACCTCCAGCATGGCCTAAAATGGCATGAAAGCTTACCCCTGTAACCCTAGCACTTGAAAGTTGGAGGATCAGTTTGAGGTCATCCTTGGCTATATAGCGTTCTAGGCCTGAGACATGAGACTCTGAAAGTAAAAAGAGAAATGCAACCCTGGAGAGAAAGCTGCGTTGAGTTTTAGCTTCAAGGACGTCTTAAAGCTTGTTTGGAATCATAATAGCTAGAAAAGCACAAAACAAAGAGATGTGAGGAAGAAACTGGAAGACCAAGGGCCAAACCTGCACGATTCAAGTAGTGTAGGACGGAGGCACACAGCAGGAGACCAACAAAACAACCTAGCCAAACAGCTAAATCCACAGGCATTGTAGGGGTCTGTCAGATCTAAATGTGGCCTCAAGCTGTTAAGGGAAAAGATGAGCTGAGCAGACAGCGGTTGTGAACAACCAGGTTACTATCTGGGGGAAACATAGGTTGGATCTTTAACTTGTATTTTGTACTAGGATATAGTCCAAAGAATCAAAATTTAGATGTGAAAAAGTAAAACCATAAAAACTCTGGATCATTCTTTTGTTCTGAAGGAAGACATTTTATGACTCAATATCCAGAAATCAAAGAACTCATCAGACCATAAAAATGTAATTGTAAAACCATTATAAGCCAAGCCAAATACAAACTGGAAAAGAAGTATGCAAATCATTACACTGGACGGATCAGTATCCCTAACATACACAGTTCTCCTAAAAACCGTGTGGTAGTAAAATGGGTACAGTACCAAACAGGAGCGGCTCTGAATCTATCAGAAGTTGGTTGGAATACAAACTTAAAATGTTAATTTTTTTCTATCTATCGGAATCATCCAAGTCTAGCACTTGAACATCATATCTGTGGTGAGGTTGTAGATGTGCAGGTACCGTCACACCCGATGGTATGTGAACTGGCACTACCCCTTGGTGGGTCAGAGACAGTCAGTACCTTTTAGAACTAGATGTGTGTGGTCTCTGACTCCTGAGTATTTACTCTAGAGGTATGTACATGCAACATGACATCAAGATCTAGAAACAAATGCCCGTGGACAGGGGGAGCGTGACTGAGTGATGGCACACTGGTGGTAAAGACACGAAGTAGCCATTAAAATGACAAGGACATCTTGTGATGTGTGGAGGCCACTGAAGGGTCATGTAACAAAAAGCATGGTATGGGCATTCGAGTGAAGATAAGAGACAAAAATGAGACCTTTATCTGTGTATCGGCATATACAAAAAGGTGTGGATGAAAATACAAGAGAGCACAGGTGGAGGGCATGTGCACGGACGTGTGGAAGACTAGGGCATGTCCAAGGAGACAGTCCACTGTAATTTTGGTGTGTTCTGTCTTTATAACCACGTGACTATGCTGTCTATTCAGAAAGTTAAAATAAGCACATTTAAAAGCCTATCACCAGGTATAAGTCAGAGGGTGCTGTGGCCCCTACATTTCATTTCGGTTGGCTGATAACTGGCTACTACAAAATAACAGACCACATCACAGTAGGGGCCCCGGAGTACGCTTTCTGGTATCAAACCCAGAATGTGTGACTATGGGAAAGTTCCAGAACTTTTCCTCAAGTATTATTTTTTTAAATATTTTATTGCTTTTACTTTATGTGTATGAATGTATTGCCTGCATATATGTAAGTGCACCCTTGTCGTGCAGTGCCTGCAGAGGACAGAAGGCAAGGCTGGATCCCTAGAACTGTCATGGTTAGGTCAGTTGTCAGCCACCACATGGGTGCTGGGAATCAAACCCGGGTCCTCTGCAAGAGCAGTTAGTGCTCTTAACCACTGAGCCATCTCTCCAACGCCCTCAAGTTTCTTTAGGAATCAGAATGGTACTTACCGCCCAGTGTTCTAGTGCAGATGGGATGATGCACGTCGAGCCCTCAGCGCAGGCCCACCTGCCGGCCTCTGGTGAGAAAGAGCCACCTATCACTATGTGGAAGCGTAGATCTTCTCCCTGCTTAACAAATTATCATGATATTGTCCTAAGAACAGCACTTGAAGTAGAGAGAAAAACGAAACAAGACAAAGACTGCAGAAACAAGGACTTTTAATTCACATGGTCTAGAGTCTGGTGGGTACGTCGGCAAATTACTTAGAATTCTATTCAGAAAAATCAAAGCTGCACTTGTAGGTGGTTCTTTCAGACAGAGGACACATGGATTTATAAGCTAGGTTTTGTACAAGGAATTTCCAGGGCATGCGCCTAGCCTGTGTCTTCTGGACACAGTGCTGCGGTGCTCTGGCGTGCGCACCGCTGCCAGACTTACTGAGCTGTTCTCGTGTCCAGCTGGAGGCTAGGCTGAGGAAGACTAGCTTAGCTGCTCTTCCCTACATATATGGCACCTAGGCAAGGCTGAGGAACACAGCAGTTTCTTACACATGAGACCACACGATGTATACCGTCACAACACACTGTCCCAACGTTATGTGACTTGTCAAATTTTGAAACTGAAATCTCTTATTTTGTCTGATCTTCCTCGTAATCTAAGAATCAAAACAGGAGGAACACTGGGAACTCACCAGTGTAGCCTGTACAGGTAACATGGAAGGGAAGTCAGTGTAAGCTACTGGAGGAAAGCACCCGGTCCCTTCATGCTCATTTCCTCACCAGCTGGTACAATCACCTCCGTCAGCTCTACTGCCAAGTGCTGGAGGTTTTCATTAGATGACAAAATACAGACAAAACGCCAAGAGACAAACCAGCCAGACATTTCCATAATGCAAACAGTGCTCCTGTATTCCCACCCAGCACAGGGGACAGAACTAGAAGACCGTCATCAAGAGACCAAAACTCATTGCGGTCCATGAAACAGGCTCCTTGAGTTTGCACAATCAATCCTTGAATATGCACTGAAGTGTAGGCCACCCCTGCTATCCTAATCTATGGTAAAAATAAAGCGAATCTGATGAATGCCAGAATACTTCCCTTATTGAAAACTTCATAAAACCTTGAGAAGACCCCTCTAACTAGATCTTTTATAGAATACAGTCTAGTATGACCATCTGTCCTAAGCTTGAAACAAATCACAGTAAAGAAAAATTAAACAAATGGAAATGAGCAAGGATGGTGAAATGGCATTACCAAAAAGACCTCTGCATTGAAAAGAGACAAAGTGCAAAATTTTCACATTTTAAAAAACCCTGAATCGACACTAAGAACAGCTCTTACTAACCGGCACTGCTGTGTAGACTTTGCTTCAACTCGCCCTCTCTGAGTTCATAGTAGTTGCAACCTTAAAAAGCACAGAAAAAGAAGAAAACTGCAAGCCAGCTTAAAAAAATTTCAATCTACAAAACCCACCACACTACCAACAAAATCCCAAGTTTACAAAGGTTGGAAAGAAGGAAATAGCTCATGAGACTTCAGTCCCCCAATCACATGCCTCCACTGGATGGCTAGGCAGCTTTGCGAGAGGGTGAGCCAACCAAATACAATTTGAAACATGCCACAAAACGGGCAATGAACACAGTTCAGGCTTTGGCAGGCTAAGATGTGGGCTTAAGAGCACTTATTGTTTACTTCAGAAAAGACAGAAGTCAAAGGAGAAACTAGACTTTGTACCCAATTCCTTCCACACAGACACAACCTTTCAAGTAATCCCATTTATATCCACGGCCACCTTAAAAAACAAAAAAACAAACAAAACCAACAAAAAAACCCCAAGATTTAAAGTACTTAAAGACTTTAAGTCCCAGGTTTAGAAAATGACGGTCTAGGGCCTGTAAGTTCTCCAGTGGAGCAGTCACACCAAGGACCACTGACATGGGATGAACTCAAGAGAGGAGGGGAGAAGCGCAGACAACCTGCTGATATAGTGACCAGAGAGAATCACAGGGAGAGGGAGAGGACTGCATAGACTGCATTCAGAATTAAATCTTTAAAAACACCTTAAAACAACAAAATTTGTGTATATAATGCTTTTAATTGCATTATAAACTCATCCCATTTTAACCAAATTTTATGAAGAAATAATCCAATCTTTAAAAACACCTTAAAACAACAAAATTTGTGTATATAATGCTTTTAATTGCATTATAAACTCATCCCATTTTAACCAAATTTTATGAAGAAATAATCCATTAAATAAATAGGGGTTGTCATAAAATAACTGAAAGTGTCTGTAATTAGGAGGAACAGAGAAGGAAGTCAGAAGGAGGGCGCTCATTGTAAAGGGGGTCAGTGAGCCAGCCTGGTGCACACAGGACACCTGGTCGACTGAGCGAGAGAGAGCACTAAACCTCCTTTGCCAAGGTAGGTCCTTTAGGCCAAAACCAAAGCAGCAACAGCAACTAAAAACTCTCAAAACTGCTGAAGTCCTGGGGAATCTTCCAGAACCTGTCACTGGTCACCAAAAGGGCTATTCACCACATTTGACAGCCCTGTATTTCAGACGATGACACACGGTGCTAGGCAAGGCTAAAAAACACTAACTAAATCACAGACAAATTTGTCACTTGAGACCAGCCCTAGGCAACACCTGCTCCCTAGTTCTTTTTCTGTAATAGACTGAACAGTCTTCTCAGGACAGAGACAGTTATTTAAAGTTTGACAACTGGAAATGAAGGTAATACAATATGAACAAAACCAACTTGAAACAGAATGGCAGACTATGCAACAGATGGGAACGCACATGAAATTAAACAGGATTAGTATAACTTACATGTTTTAAAGTATATACTTCATTTATAAATATCTCTAGCCAATAAGCTAATAAAGATCATAAATATTCAAGTGAACATTTGAATTTTGCAGTTCAGAATTCTTTAAATCTTAGACGCTTAGCCCATCTGCTGACTGTGCAAGGCCAAAAGGCTTCACATACTCCATTATGTCCAAGGAGACACAGAAATGCCTTCATCACCTACTGTGCTTCAGTAAAGCTTTAAAGTTCTGTAACTCTCTTATGCTTGTAGAAAGCCTATGGGAAAAGGGAAAAAAATTATATTAGTACATACAGCTGAACTATATGCACACATTTCAAATAGTGGGTTTTGTTACTTGAGCCATAATCCAAAAGCAAAACTCAAACACTGAACATTGAAGATTCCATTTTATTATTTTTATTTTATGTGTATGCGTGTATTGCCTGCATGTAGGGAAGTGCACCATGTTGTGCGATGCCCACAGAAGACAGAAGAGACTCTCGGATCCCCTGGGACTGGAGTTACAGACAGTTGTTAGCTGCCATGTGGATGCTGGGATTTGAACCTGGGTCTTCTGCAAGAACAGTCAGTGCTCTTAACTGCTGAGTCATCTCTCTAGCCCCGAAGACTCCATTTTAAATAGGCATGCTGGACTGGAGAGATGGCTCAGTGGCTAAGAGCAGTCACTGCTCTTACAGAGGAACAGGGTTCAGTTTCTGGCACCCACATGACAGCTAACCACCATCGGATACTCCAGTTCCAGGGATCTGACACAGGCACTGGAGGACATCGGTGCACTTACATACATACAAGCAAAATACTCACGCACGTAAAAATAAATAGGGATGCTATAATTTCTAATGAAAAGGTAATAAATATGGAGTGGTGGTTCTTTGATCACTGTTTAGAGCGAGTTCATCGTCCTGTCAACAGACTGCAGCTGGATGAATGAGTGAACCAGTGCCCTGAAGGACCCCGTCTCGGACCATTTCATCAGGATGCGGTCCTCACAGTCATCATCCCTTCTCAGCTCCCAGGCCCACTGAGCCGCTTCTCGTCTCCTGCAGCCCCTTCGGCTTCCTACACCTGTCCACATGTGTGGCAGTCTCTGAGTGCTCACTGGCTCCGTGAATAAATAAAGAGCCCACACCCAGGAGTGGAATTCTGAGATGGGAAGAAAAAAACCCCACAAGTTCCTTTCTCCTAATGTACAATTCAGGGTTAATGTAAGAAATATCCAGTATCTCTCTCCTATAGCCTACAGTGATAGAGTACACATGGCTGAACTTTTTTTTCACTCCAGTACTTTACAAGTTGTTGTTTATTGAGAGTACCAGACGAGTCTGAGCCCAACAAAAAGTATGAGCTCAATAAACCTAAAGAATGCAACAAGGTAGAAAGGTTAACTTTGGTCTTACATTTTAGGTAAAATGGGCTCAAATCAAATTCTCCCAGGGTCCCCAGCTAGCAGGTGGATTCTAAGCTGGGAGCTTTTATCCTGATTTAATAGACAGGAAGTTCACTAGCAGAGTAAGGATCTGCTTGCTATGCCCCAGGACTCCCAGATCTACTTCTGAAGCAGCATTCTCTAGAGAGCAGTGATGGAAACAAGCTCTAAACACACCATTGGGACCAAAGGTACATTTCCAAGACCCAGAGAAATTTTGATGAAATGTTCAATTTAATTTTTTCTCCTTTTTCAATTTGTGCTTAAAATGTTTGAATTATTTAAGACATTTTTCATTTCAGTTTCTCATTCAAATAATTTACATTTCACTCAGTTTTTTCTGTTATCTTTCTAAAAGACCTCATAAATGTAGACTGAATTTTCTATCTTGTGGTTCAAATCTCAATTGGTCCAGTCATCTTTAAATACAGAGAAAAGCTGGGCACAATGGCTCACACCTATAATCCCAGGACCTAGGAGGCTTAAATAAGATCACTGAGTTTGAAGGCAGAGGGAGCTGTATAGAGTGCCAGGTCAGCCTGGACTACAGTAAGACCCTGCCTAAATAAATAAGAATAAGTAAAAGAATGGAAGAAATGGGTACAATCTTTGCTATTAAGAAGGGAAATTCTGTGGCTGGAGAGATGGCTCAGCAGTTAAGAGCACTGGCTGCTCTTGCAGAGGACCTGGGTTCAATTCCCAGCACCCACACGGCAGCTAACAACCATCTGTAACTCTAGTTCCAGGAGATCCGATGTCGTCTTCTGAGTGCTGTGGGCACTGCACAAGTGTGCACTTGAAATACACTCATACACATAAAATAAAAAATAATAAAATATTTTAAGATGGGAAATATAAGTTATCACTAAGTGGTATGACTCCTTTTAACATAAAAATCATATTCATGAAACACAATAATTTCTATTACTTGGCCCCAGTTTAAAAAAATCCTTTCCCCATGATTTGACTTTTTACTCCTACTTTTCTAAGGCAGTGCATTATTTTCTGTGATTCTTTTCCCCGTTTTCTATCCCTCGGTTAGTTGGCACCACATGTACGTTTGGAGGCAGATTCAAATTTTCAAAATCATTTGTGACATAACAGTCTATAGACAGGAATGAATGAACGGTGAGGACTCCCACTCACAGAACACACAGCAGAGAGGGATGGCAGCTCTGTCTTTGACCACCCTTCTCCATCACATTTTTCTTATGCCACTACTGGAGCAGGCTATAGCCAGCTAAAGAAAAGACCATTAAACACAAAGCTGAGCCACCTGGAAACTCAATTCTTCATGTGACTGACAGAAGCTGACCTGTCATGTGGGAGGCCACACCCAGAAAAGTGAGTGCAGCCGTCATTTTCTTAAGGCAGGGTCTTATTACTGAGCTGGCCTTGAACTTGTAATCCTCCTGCCTCAGGTTCTCAATGCTGGGGTCAGGTATACACTACCACACCCTGCATTGCATCTTTCTGTGGGCAAACAAAACCGAAGCATACCAGCTGAGGAAAGAACACAAATCCTTGCAGTTCATCGAAACCTGCAGGGGAACTTACTCTCAGCTACAGGAGCGGCTCTTACCTTCCAAAAGCATTTAAAAGAGCAACTATTTCCTGCCGAGTGAGCTGGAAGCCTTTTGACGGACTGTTCTCTGGAAGTTTTTGGATTTCTTTTTCAGAGAATAGTATCTTCAAGGCAGTTCCTAAACCCTGAGTCTAAAGAAAACACCAATAGACTTACAATTAGTTTATACAAAAATTACTTTTGAAAATTTAACAGACCACTCAGACAGTGAAGAAAATCTTATGAAGGGGCTGGGGAGCTGGCTGAGTGGTTAAGAATGCTTGCTATTCCTCAAGAGGACCCAAGTTCAGTTCCCCCCACATCCTGCAGCTAACAACTGCCCAGCGCTCCAGCTCTAGAGATTCTGATGCCTTCTGGCCTCCGTGGGTACCTGTATTCACATGGAATGCACACACCATAAATAAAAGAATCATATCACTGAGATTTACAACAAAGTGCTAAACTGCACACAGCAGCATCCACTCCTCATAGGCTGTCACAAGATGAACAACATGCTGCTTAGGAGACCTCAGTGGTCTGAGCTTGTTGGACATGCACTGTTCCAATGACGAAAATGACTGGGTTTGGGTTTTTATGTTTTTCTGGGTTTTTTCGGTCTTTTTGAGACAGGGTCTCCCTGTAGCCCCAGCTGGCCTGGAACTTACTATGCCTGCCTCTGCCTCCCTGGTGCTGGGACTGAAGTTGTGGCCATCATGCCTGGCTAAATAAAATGCTTGTTTTTATGACATCAGAACAATGGTCAATTTGTAACCTTGAAGAGCATTGCTGCTGTCATTTGCTGAACTACATCCCAGCCCCATTAAAAACATTTGCTACAACACTAGCAATTCACAATGAGGGTAACAGCCACACTGAGTAATTTCTTAGTACTGGAGAAAAAAGACTGATTTGAGCATAACCGATTAACAATGATTCTGTCTCCAGCATGTGGTACACTCCTGTAATCCCAGAGCTCAGGATCACAAGTTTGACTCTGCCTGGGCTAAAAAGTGAGACCCTAACTTTCCTTCCTCTGGTTTTTCTGTAACTTATCATCTTTGTAAGAAAATAAGGGATAAAATGTCAAACAACCCTCCCCACTGCAGTCAGACCTGCCCTGCAGAACATCTGTGCTCTGTGCCTAAGCAAACCTCTTTTGACCACTGAAATAAACCCAATGACCAAAATCTGATATTTAGGATTTATATATTTTACTTAATATATGAAATTCTCTATTCATAACCAACTTCAGAAATGAATCTGAGATGGTACCAAGACACAGGCATGCAATAAAAGGCAAATCACTAGCATGTAATACAAAAATATTCTTCTGTGTATATCCCTGACAGTTTAATAACATTCATCTTTTCATTAATAACTGGAAAAGCTGCATTTCGGATCTGCCAATTCCTAAGTATTAATTCAATGAATAACGAGGACATCCTGATGAGAACTTTGAACCAAGTGGAAAGCTGTAAGGCAACAGCAGTCCGACAAGGAAGGACAACACTCACCTGAAGTTTCCCCCACAGTCTGCACTTGTCGCACCCCACACAGTCCATGATGCGGGAGATGTTCTTGAAATGTAACCGGAACTCCTCCTGGCATGTGGGAAATATCCTAATTAGACTTTTTAAATTAAGTTGCATTTGGTTGAACTATATATAAAAAAAGTCCTAAAGTTTGGAACTGAATAAGCTGATTTTCAGCAGTAAAAATATTTGAATGTATACAGCACAGCATAGCACATTAGAACACATGACACTAACAAAAGCTTTAAGATTCACTCTGCATACTGAGTGAATCCCACACTTTTTATTAAGGGGATGCTTTATGCAAAACACCAAAATATGAACTATGGAGGCCCAACATAAATGACGTCTGGCCCTCACTTGTATGACTGAACTGCTACTTCCGTCGGAGACCTTCTTGTCTCCAGGGGTAACACATATCTGCTATGTCAGTTGCCTCTGAGGGTCGGTCTGCTGTGTGAGCCTGTGATAGCCAGTGTTAACTCTCAACTTGACAGCATCTAGAATCACCTCAAAGGCAAGCCTCTGGGCACATCTGTGAGGGAGTGTCTAGGCTTAGGTTAGCCTGAGAATGTCTGTGTGGGACTATCTTGATTAGGTTGACTTGTATGGGAAGACTCATTTCAATGGTAAGCAGGCCCGCTCGCTGGGTAGGGGTCTTTGTTTTATAAAAAGAGAAAGTAAGCTGAGTACCAGCATTTTACCATTTTCTGCTTCTTTTTTAAAAACATTTTTATTTCATGTGTATGAGTGTTTTCCCTACATGTATGTAAGTGCATCCATGTGGTGCAATGCTTGAGGACACAAGAGGAGCGTATCTGATCCCTTGGAACTGGAGTTATGGGTGGTTGTGAGCTGCCATGTGGGTGCTGGGAGCTGAACCCATGTCCCCTGCAAGAGCAGCCAGTGCTCTTAACCACTGAGCCATCTCTCCAGGCCTCCTTCTGCTTCCTAACTGCTGATGCAATGTGGCCAGTTACCTCAGGCTCCTGCCTCTGTGACTTCCCTGGAACTGTAGGCCAAAACAAACCTGTCCTTTCTTAAGTCAACCTTGTCAGGTATTTATCACAGCAAGAGAAAGAGTAACTAAAACACAGCTTAATCATAGTGTTGGCGCTGGAACAATGTCAAGGTTTAGATCATTTAGTGGCACACTATCATATATGCTCAACACCCATGATCACAATTTATGGCAAAATCTAATTAGACTAACATCAGAAAGTTAGACAAGTGGAAAAGAAAAGTTTGGATTAGTAAGATGAGAACAGCCCGCCAACAGCCCTACCCACCCCATTACCTTTAATGACTTGGCCCCCTTTTTGTCACCTGCAAACATGGATTTCTCATCGAAGTGCATGGGAAAGGACCTGATGAAAGGACAGGACCTTCGTGAGCTACAAGTCAAAGTCCAAACACTTGCATTACAGCTTTGGTAGAATTTTATAGCCCTATGAATATTTAAAATCCATTAATTACTTAGAACACAGGAAGGTGACAGTTCACATATACATTAAGACTAAAGGAAGTTACATGTGGCTTTATATTTTATAAGACTAATATTTTAAGGAAACTAGTAAAAACAATCTCAAAATATGCAGCACTCCACATTTTGTGAACTATAGTGTGCAATTTACTTTAGGCACTTCTTGGTGTCTCTGTCCTTCCAGCTTGTCTTAATACCCAGTAAAGGTGTCTGACAGACTAAGCTATTTTTAAAAGATTGAATCTGGAAGGTAAGGCTAATATATTGCCTTATATATTCACTGCAATGCTTACATTTACTGTACCACTTCACTTTAAACAGTAACAAAACAAATGCAAAACTGATGGGACATCAGAGGACACTGAAGTGACACTACATAAACTCTTACATCACCACACACTGAAATACATGTCGCCTATTCTCCAGTGTAAAGGTTTCTGCAGCTTTAGAGGCTTTCTGGTCCCATCTGCGGTAGGGTTCTGGTTCTCCTGGTCCTGTGCCATAGTGGCTCTGCTTCTCCCTCTCCTAACTTCTGGGTTCGGGCTTTGCTCGATTCTAGTTTCATGTTGTGTTCACAGTGGAGGATTCAGGATATGGCAGCTCGTTCTTACTTTGTGTCCTGAAAGATGCTGAGCAGAAGGGTCTTGGTGTCTGCATCTTCCTCCAAGTTGCCAGTGTAAAGACCAACAATGGATCGTTCAAAATAAGGGGCCACCTTTGACAAAGCTCGAAGTTCAATCAAGTACAAAAAGTACAGGTTCTTAAGCCTTCTTGGACCTTCCCCCTTTGTCTCCACAGAGTCAAAGCGGCGTTTAAATTCTTTGACATTAGGTCCCCAACTTGGCTTACCCCAGGTTTCTAAAGAGGAGAAATACAATGTGTTTTTTAGTGAAGAGGATTTTCTTCCTCTTTATACATAATACAAATTTTCCCCTCAACAATTTTTATACTATAATAGAAGTAAAAAGAAAATATCCATTTCAAATTTTGATTTCCAGGGCTGGAGAGATGGCTCAGCAGTTAAAAGCGCTGGCTGATCTTGCAGAGGACCCGAGTTCAGTTTCAGCACCCACATGGCAGCTAACAACCATTTGTAATTCTAGTTCCAAAGGATCTGATACCCTCTTCTGCCCTCCATGGGCACTGCACACACCTGATTCATTTATATATATGCAGGCAAAATACTCATATACATAAAAATAAATTTTAAAAATAGATACCAAGACAGGAGTGGTGGCACACGCCTTTACTCCCAGCACTTGGGAGGTGGGGCAGAGGGAGGCAGATCTCTATGAGATCAAGGCCAACCTGGTCTACATAGTGAGTTCCAGGCCAGCTGAAGCTACAGGAGATCCTGTCTCAAAAACAATAAAAACCACCACCATCAATAACAAAAATTGATTACCGGGCTGGAGAGAAGGCTCAGTAGTTAAGAGCACTTGTTCTTGTAAAGGACCTGAGTTCAATTCCTAGCACCCACATGGCAGCTCACAACCTCCTATAACTCCAGTTCCAGAGGATCTGATCCCCTCTTCTGGCCTGTAGGGGCACTGAACACACATGGTATATGTACATACAGGCAAAACACTCAAACACATACAATTTTTTAAAACTCTGATTACCTTCCAAAAGATAATTTACACACAGATGTAAATTGATGCTGGCATGAAGTCCTGATATAAGCTTATAGAAGACTCTTTTCTCAAGACATAAACCTACTCAGAAAAATAAAGTGAATTAAGTTTAAAAAAAAAATCAAGAGATAATACAGGAACAATTAAATGGAGATTTTCAATACCCTTCTAGATCTCCTCTCACAGTAAGAGTAAAAGAAGAGAAGGAGAAACGCATTGTGTTTTCAGTACTGTTGAGTACGTGTAGTGCCACAAACAGTAACCTGGGCCTAGAGTCCAACTCCCAGCACTAAAAACAGAAACAGAAAACCATAAAATTCCAAAGGGTTAACATGGTAAATTTTATGCTATGTATATTTTACCATAATAAAGAGGAAAAATTTTAGATGAGTAATATTCTTCAGGGAAGATTTTAAAAATAAATGAAAATGCAGAAAAATAAACTTAAAGAATCTGCTAGAGGCAACTTTTCCTTTCTTAGCACCCAACAGGTCTTTTGTTTCCTCTTAACCACCCTTCCCACTGGGGAAGGAGGACTTTGACAGTGAAAATTAAGGTATGCCATTTACATGCCAGGGGAATTTTCTTTCTTCCTCATTTTTTTTTTTTTTGAGACAGGGTCTCCCTGTAGCCCCAGCTGGCCTGGAACTCACTATGTAGACCAGGCTGGCCTGGAACTCACAGAGATCCACCTGCCTCTGCCTCCCAAGGGCTGGGACTAAAGGCTTGCGCCACCACACCCAGCAGGAATTTTCTTAATGCAAGGATATCTATGCAGCTTACTTTTGCACCTTGTCAAGAGCTCTCAGATCATTAACTTACTTTTTTTATGTCCTGCCACAGAAGGCTCTGAAGTGAGCACTCTCAGATAAGGGAGGACAGCTTTTCTGAGGTCTCATTCCCTAATTCAGAATTCCTGCTATAATACTCATACGTTATAGAGACCAAAATGTAGAAAATAAAGTCTATTTTGTAGCTTTCTCTGGAAAGCTTATGGCCATTTTTGACTGTTCAGTATAAGGGCTACAAATAAAAAGATTTAATAAAATATTAAGTACTTAAGCATTTTTCTCCAAGAAAAAATGTCCTCAACCATGTTATCAAGAAGCAAAATGATAAATTGGAAGCTCACTTTCTATTCTTTCCCACCTACCTCTCTAAGAAGTGCAGCTGTCCAACAAGAGAGGCTACAGTCTAGAGAAGAGACAGTAGGTAAAGGAAAACCCCTGAAAACCCACATGCCTACACACAAGGACCTGGAAAACCAGGAGGCAGTTCTCATTTGCAAAGCTCTGGAAACTGGCCAGCTGGAATCAGCAGGTAAGTGAGGAGATAGAGGAGAAACGTACTTCCATGAACTGCACAAGGAAGGGAACCGCAAGCAAATGGTAACAAAGACATGGCCACTGACTATGCCAGGAAGACACAGCACTGGGTGGAAATGCTGGGGCACTGCCAGCCGGGCCTACTGCAGGGCAGCTGGGTGTCTACCTGCCTATGGAGGGCAGACACAAGCTCCTTCCTCTTCCTCTCAAGTAACACCTGAAAAACCAACCTACAAAGGCAAAATCCACTGACTTCCAGTCTAGCAATACAAATCAAGTTCAACTACTCAATTCAGGAAGTTGTTCTCTTCTAGATTTAATGTAATTCAAATTATTTTCAGCAATGGGATTAGGAGTATATGGGAAATTATTTTCTCATAAGAAGACTTGATCTACTGTAGCAGACATCACTCAGCAGTATAAAGAGGTAGCAGTTACTGTTACTCTCAACTCTAGATGAGGAGATAGACGTCAGAGGCGGGCATGGTGGTGCACACCTTTAATCCAGCACTCAGGAAATGGGAGGCAAGAAGATCTCTGTGAGTTAGAGGCCAGCCTGGTCTACATAGTGAGTTCTAGGTCAGCCAAGGTTATACAGTGAGACCCTACCTCAAAGCAAACTAACACCACCACCAACAACAACAACAACAAAACCCAGAACAGGCTGTTAGTTGACTACACACAGTACTGGTCTCTGGAACCACATACTAACATCCAGGGACTCCAAAGAGCAAGATGCTCGAAGCATGATCAAGACACTATGTCTTAAGTCTGATATTGACCCAAGATCTCATTCACATCCTCCATTATCAACAGTCAGAGTCTCTGACTCCCCCTCTGAGTCTAATTCAGGTGTGTCTAGCCAAGGCCCATGCCAAGACAGCTGTGAATGTGGCCCAGCACATCTATAGACCCAATCATGTCACAAGGCCCAGTGGTTCAGCACCCTGATCTAAATGCTACTTTCTACAATATGTATTTTTTGAGCAGAGCTTAATTAAAGTTACACATCTTCTCCTTGGGCCATTTTCAAACAAAAACTTCTAACAACATTTACACAACAATAACATTCACTTTAATAATGACATAAAGAGATAGTTCATTAAGATAAGAAACCCACTTAGAAACCAGTAGAATTGCCACTGAAGAGTTTAATTCTGTTTGCTGGAAGCTTATGGCTATGAAATGCTGATCTCCCTCAAGTCAGATGTGGTTGTGCCTGCCATTAACCCCAGCACTTTGGAGGCGGAGGCAGAGGCAGATGGATCTCTGAGTCTGAGGCCAGCCTGATCTACATAGCGAGTTCCAGGACAGCCACGGCTAAACAGTGAGACCCTAACTTAAAAAAAAGAAAGAAGAGAAAAAGATTTCTATCATTCATCTAGCTTACTAATCTTCCTCTAACACAAAACAGTAAAGCTGAATTTCAAAAGCATTCCTCATCTACACCCAGTTACTAACCTAAGTCATTAAACTCCTAAAACATTTAGCTTCTAATCAACATTTTGTACTTTCAATACTGGAAATAGGTGGAATGAAAAATACACTGCTATCTACATTGCTTTCTATTTTAGTTAGACAACTGCAGACTTTACAAACATGGGCTACCATGTATGTAGCCTTCTGAACTCAATTCGTCTTTCCTTGTTTTATACATAGCAAATACTTCATTCCAAAGAATGTTTTCACTTTAAATAAGCAGACTTGCTAGTTACTAGTAAAGTAATTTGAATGAAACAAAGACCGAGGAACCAGTGATGAAAACCAAGTGACAGTTTCTGGCCTACGTAGTCATACAGTAATGACTTTTGGCTGACCAATATCCTCAATTTTTTCTGCATAATTTTTATCCCCAGATATAACAAACTAAAACATGTTATTTTCTTTCAAATACTGTTAAAATCAGTTGTCTAGAAAATACAGACATGAAGTTTACCTTCTAGCCATGTGTAGAATGATTCTCCTTTAAAAAAAAAAGAATTTGGTTAAAATATTTTAACCATTCATGTATAAAATATGACAAATTAGGTCATAAAATATGAAAATTTGAGGACTATCTCTAGATATCTTCAGATTAAATAGTAAAATAGGTATATGGTTCTAAAAAAAATCTATAGTAATTTAAATGACTCTGGAGAGTGTTCTTACAGCTATCTTGAGCACTAAAATGTATAAGCCCTGTATCTGAATCATATCCTGTCTTCAGCAGTAGGGTCTTATCTACTAATTCTAGGAGATAGCCAAGAGGTTTGGTAACAGCCTGTTATTTGGGAAGTCTCCTGGACCACTCTCACCAACCACTCAAAGAGAGGGCTCTTCTCTCTGGCACTGTGTTCCTTGCCAAGTAGTTCCCAGGTATACATATGCACTAACGTTTAGACACCGTATGGGCATTTCTCATGGGGTTTCGGGGGCATCGTATTTCCCAAACTAGACTCTGGTGGACAAATTTACACTAAAGGACATCTGGGTACAAATGCTTAACTGGATGGGACTTAAAGTGTATGGTGGAATACATGAGGTCTGGTTGGGGATGGGGGGCATAGATGGGGGAGGGGGTTTAAATTTGGTTAAGAATTGTATAAAATTACAAAACTCAATAAAATTTTTTTAAAAAATGTACAAGACATTTCAGTCTGGATATTATGCAAATCTTATTCACTAAAGGTTTAAATCTAAAAGCAAGGGAGCAAACAGTTAATAATCAAAAATTTTAGGCCAGGTGTGGTGGCGCACGCCTTTAATCCCAACACTCTGAGGCAGGGGCAGGATCTCTGTGAGTTCCAGGCCAGCTGGGGCTACAGGGAGACCCTGTCTCAAAAAGATTTTTTAAAAAATTCCTAAAATTTTTCTGCAGTAGCAATCACAGTGCTCAATACAAAAATCAAATTATAATCACTCCATATTTTCTCCCAAGCCAATAAAGCCAGGTATATTTCCTCAATTATCTAAAACTAAATTTCAAGGGATGATCTTTAAATGTACTCTTAATTTTCAGTGTAATTCTTGAGAAGAGAGGCTGGTGACTCATCTGCGTTGGAGGCCCTAAGAATGCTCCCTGGGCTGAGGAGATGGTGGTCAAGGGATGCAGCTTCAGCTGCACAGCAGGAGTAAGGCCCAGAGACTTAGTACATGGCATGGTGACTAGTCTGGCCACATACTGTATTCTTGAAAACTGCTGAGAGCAGATATGCTTTCACCACGGACACTGGAAATATATGCATGGCACTTGGCATGTTTTAGCTGCTCTCCAATGTACACATACTTCAAAGCACCATACTGACTAATGCTTGTAATTTTTATTTCTCAATGTAAAAGACAGAACTATTACTGCCCCAATAGTGTTCTTCTGAGGTTTTTTTTGTTGTTTTTGTTGTTGTTGTTGTTGTTGTTTTTTAAAGGAACTTGTTGCTGTGGCTCCGATGTTCCTGTTCCTATTTGTTAACTGAGAATTCTTCCAGGAAGCTGCCCTGTCATTCCAGCAAGATGCAACTGTCTCACCCTTGCTGAGCTCCACCTGCTGTTTGTACTACCCGCAGCGGATTTCTACACGTTGTTACCCTGGCTATAGACTGCACTTACCGTCCTCTGTGTATCCTCAGCTGCCAGAGGGAGCACAAACCACTTTCCCCCATTCTGCATAATGCCCACAACAGTGCCCTTGAACACAGGTAAGTAAACATCTGATGATTGAAATAATTTTTTTAAAAAAACTATTATTCTGGCTTATTGGGAGCATCTAAAGTAACCAATTCTTGACAGTCTTCACCAGATTATGTATTATATTGGAAAATGAGATTATAACCTTCAAAGTCAGTAAGAAAATAAAGTCACAAATTAACTAATAAAACTATCTTGTTTCCCCAGAATATTCAAGTAGACTTTAAGAACTATTAATTTACTGTGTGTTTCTATATATATGTGGGCATGAGAGTGCCACAGTATGAGTGGAGGACAGCTGATAACCTGAGGGAGTCATTTCTTGCTTTCTACCATGTGGGTCCTGGGGCTCAAACTCAGGTCAACAGGCTTGGCAGCAAGTGCCTTTACATGCTGAGCCACCTCCCCAGTACTCAAGGAGATTTTAATAACCAGAAAATGGGGAACTTGAAATAGGAACCTAGTTTCTATATTAAACATTTATGTAAAATGGTCTTTATGGTTTATTTTTGTTTTTGGAAACAGGGTCTTCCTGTAGCCCCAGCTGGCCTGGAACAGATATGTAGACCAGGTTGGCCTTGATCTCAAAGATCCACCTGCCTCTGCCTCCCAAGGTGTGTGCCACCATGCCCAGCTCTTTATGCTTTTTAAATATAACTTTATAAGGGCAATCTCAATTTTGGTCACCACTGATCATTCCTGAAAAAAAAAATAGACTAAGCATTTTCTTTTGACTAAAACAAGGAAAAAAAAGTCAAATTTTGATACTGAAAGAACATTTCTTCTATACTTGAAGCAAACACAAGAGTTCCAACTTACCATCATCTTCACCTGAAAGAGAAAATAAAAGACCTTAGAAAATGTCTTAGATTGCTCAGATTCCAGTTCTACTCATTTTAATGTAGAACTCTTACTGTTGAACTGTGCATTATCTCCTGAACTCTGGTCAGTAGGCAGGTATCTTACAGACAGCCCATAACAAAAACACAGGCCAAAGATGACAAGATTTCAGCATTCTACAAACAAATTGGGGGGGGGGTGCAGAGGGAGAGAGGGATGGATAGAGGGATGGAAGGTAGGAGCGAGGGAGGAATGGAGGGAGAAAGAACTGGGTCTGGTGGCACAAGTCTGTAATCCCAGCTACTTAGGAGGCCAAAGCAGGAGGATCAACAAGTTCAAGGGCTGTGCAGGCCGCGCTGGCTACACGGGCCATGCGGGCTACTCGGGTCAGCCTAGGAAGCTTAGCAAGACTATATCTCAAAACAAAAAGTAAGGAGCTGGAGAGATGGCTCTAGTTAAAAGCACTGGCTGCTCTTGCAGAGGACCCAGGTTCTGTTCCCAGCACCCACATGGTGGCTAACAACCATGCATAACTCCAGGTCCAGGGAATCCGACAGCCTCTTCTCATCTCTGTGGGCATTACATGCATGTAGCACACTTATATTCCATGTATGCAAAACATCTATACACATAATATTTGCTGGGTACTTTTCTGGATGACGACTCTTCTGCCCAGACAGCCTGGACAAGGGCCAGGGAACCCTCCTGGTATGGCACAGGCCCAGCACTGGGCTCTGGCTCCCCTCTACTGCTGCTCTGTCAGCTTTGTCTGATAGATTCTGATGGGACAGTTTACTTTTCTAAAAAAAGGTTCTGCTGCTCAAAACCTTCTGGGAAAACAGGTGTAGAAGCCTAGCAGTTAAAACTCAGGAACAGCACAGCATGCAGAAACAGGGCTGAGAGGCTGAGGAGGCACCCACTACCATTTTAGCAGATGGCCCACCAACAGCATCAGCCAGAGCTGCTGGCCTCCTGCAGCTGGCAGCCATGGCACAGGGGCCCAGTTTGCCCCCTGGCCTGGCCTTGAGCCATCCTTCATGTCACTTCTCCCACCTCCCACTTTCCTCTGTGCTGGTTTCTTCCCTCATCTTTCCAGGAGTCGTAGGTCTAATGGTGAAATGGAAACAAAGGGTGTCTCTGGACTGATGGTTTCCATTAAGCAAACAACTATTTTTTGTTTTGAAAGAAAGTAACTACAGGAGGGGTCTAGAAGAATGCCCCTCAACTCTGAAACATGGACTGAAAGGGAAGGACTGTCCTGTAGATAGCCTCTACTGTGTCTCCACTTTCATAAAAGTTTGTGTAACTCAAACATTTAAGCTGAAAACACAAAAGTTGTAACAGCGAAAAAAAGAGGAAAAGCAGCCAGCCCAGCCTTCTCTTGCCCAAATCAGCTTCCGTGTGCACAGGCAGTTTCCAAATGCCTCTGAAAGCACCTCTCAAAGCTGAGGAGGTGTTCAGCCCCTCCACATCTATTTCAGCCTCAGGTCAAAAGGTACAAGCCTAGGTAGGAATTTCAGTTTCTCAGTTCAGTCCTGGTCTAACCTGGACTGGCAGACTAGCTACAGGGCCACCACCTGGGATTGGCTTCTCCTAGAGAACAGCATGAGAACATCCTAACCGACCCACAGCATGCATGCACACCATGTCAGCAGCATATCAGCTACACACGAACCTTAAATAGCCATAGTTTATTTTTGTTGTTGAGGCAGGGTCTCATTACGGTTGCCCTGGCTGGTCTGGAATGGTGTATTATCAAGCTGGCCTAGAATGTGAGATCTGCCTGCTCTGCCTCCCAAGTGGGCGTGCACCTCCACACCCAGCCAAACAGCCCTGTATTTGTGTGTGTGTGTGTGTGTGTGTGCGCACACACATGTGATTGTATTGCTTGCATGTGTGTATACATAACCAAGTCATCAAGTCATGCAATGCCCATGGAGGTCAGAGGATGGTGTCAGAGTTACAGTTGTTAGCCACCATGTGGGTGCTGGAAATTGAACCCGGGTCCTATGCAAGAGCAGTCAGTGCTCTTAACCACTGAGCCATCTCTCCAGCCCCATAGCCCAGTTTTTAAAAGTAAAAAGTGCATATGGCATTACAACATCAACATCACGTGCTCTGGGCTAGAACAGTCCTACCAAAACAAGGAGGCCCTGTTTGATGGCAAAGGTAGCTGACATTGCTTCCATCTGAAGCAATGAACTTAAAACTTAAAACTCGGCTCACTTGATGACTTGGAGATGGCTGGCCCCTGTGAGGAAATGCTGGGCTGTGGCAGTGCTGAGGTGCTCCCCGCACTCCACTGTGCTACCTGTACTCCACCGTGCTTCTGCACTCCACCATCCTCCCCGCACTCTGGGGTGTGGGTGAGAGCCCAGGCAGGCAGGAATGTGTTAGGAGGCTGCCTCCTACCCCAGACCTATCAACTCTGCCTGTGTGCTCACCAAGCTCCCAGGTAACCTGTGTGCACTATGGAGAAGTTGTGACGTGCCACCAGCTGTACACTGGGTTTTAAAAACTCGTGGCTGGGCCAGGGTGCCCAGATTTTTTAAATTTCCTCGGAAATCTCTGATATATATATATATATATCACACACTAGTCATTCTATACAAAGCTCCTAGTTTAGGATCTGGCATGCTACAGGCCCTCAGTAAAACAGTAATTAACAACAGAAGACATCTAGATCTAGGGGCCTAACCTACGAGCTCATACTTTTGTTCAATCATCTAAATTAAGCAAAATATAAAATAGTTCATTTCTTTTCCTTATGTCACAAGGACATTTTATAAACAATCTGAAAAGCATGATGTGTATTGAAAACCCACCTCGACTGGGTGCCAGAGGATTTAAAGGACGATACACAGATCGAGGCCTGAAAAACAGCACAAAGCTCAAATGTTTTTTTTTAAAAAAAAAAAAAAAAAACGCACCTTTTTCCAAGAAAGATACCCCCCGCCACCTCGTCCCCACATTACTTGAAGCAGTTTTCTTCGTAGATGCTGTTCCACACCCTCCAGGCCGAGGAACCCTTGTAGCCTGTGTACCGCTCGGGGTTCAGCAGCAGGTCCACATACTGTGCAGCAGGAGATCGCTCATCTGCCATGAACAACCACAGTCACTCAATTTCACCATTCTCCTAGAACCTAGCATTGCAAAGCAAACAAACCTCAGCCTGGAGAAGGGCTGTGCTTTCTAAGTAATCTCCACTCCACAGGGCAGGTTAGAACTCTGTGACCCCATCTGATCCTGCATTTGTAAAACTTGGACAAATTACTCAAGAGAGGAAAAACCAACACATCCCTTTCCTCTGACTACTCAAAAGTTCACTTGCAAAAATGTAACAGCTCTCACTTTAGTTTTAAGCACACAGGAATGGAAAGATGGACACAATTGGAACCTGCTTTGATGTTATGCAATTTTTTCTTTATCTCAACCAAGGCTTGAAAACACTTGTTTTCTTAAAGACACCTTATATTATGAAGAGATTTTACAACTACTTTCTATTTGGACTTATGAAGTAATTGGTCAAGTAACTGATTCAAACCTTACTATTCAGATTTAAATGTTCCTATTACTCTATAGATTTAAAAATTCATATAATCAATTTTACCAATTTTCACATGTTGAATTGCTTTTTCCTCTCTGTTCAAACGTTCTGCCTTGTTCAAACGTATGAAATTAGCCATTTTTGTGATGAAACCTAAGTTTCATCTAGCTGACTTCGCTAGATCTCCACTATCTGCACAGAATTCTTAAAGGTTTTTCTCGATTTATGTACAGCATCTGGGCACTGGAAACTGAACCCAGGTCTTCTGTGAGAGCAGTAAGTGCTCTTAGCCACTGAGCAGTCTCTCCAGCCCTTGGATAGTATTTTAATGGAGATCACTGAGAAATACAAAATGTAAAGAAAATTGACCTTACTATTGAGGCTCACAATCCAAGTCAAAAAGGGAAACACATTTTTATAAGCAAAGGAAAACTAGAGAATGTGCTTCACCAATGTGTAGCCATCAGTTGTGTAGTGTGTTGGTGGACACCTCCTTTCCCATGCTTACTGCATTTGGTGCCCTGAGATCAAACCCATAGTGCAGAGATCCCGTGCTTAATGTAGAGTCAAATGTGGTCATTAACCCTCCCTTTCTTTCCCTACCTGGCAGTGTATTTTCCTATCAGTGAACAACACTCACCGGACCTTCAACGACCACAGTTAGAGATTACCCACAGCTGTAAGGGGAAACTGGCACCCTGATCCATGGCCCCAAGAGCTCCCTGACACCATCACGATGCAGGAGGAAGATGAAGGTAACCACAAGTTACCATTATTAAATGGACTGAATATAAGATATAGGTAATGGAAATATTTTACAGAATGTAGCATACTGGCCCTATTTCCAATCCCAGAATTATAAAGATATTCCACGATACAAATGAAGGCACAGGAAACAAGTTACAATTGTACAGACAGAAACTGTCCAAGCTGGGTGTGGTGGCACACACCTTTAGTCCCAGCACTCCAGAGGCACTCTGTGAGATCCAGGTCAGCCTGGTCTACATAGTGAGTTCCAGGTCAACTGGGCCTACAGGGAGACCCCCATCTCAAAAAGACCAACAAAACAAAACAAACAACAAAAAACTGTCCAAGTAAACACAGATTGGGTTAGGACTTGAGAACATTAGCTTTTTAGATCTCAATTTATAAATATAGTGGTTAAAGTCATGAAGTTCTTAAAAGCATTGTTAATTACAGTTGGGATAGAGGATGTAGTCCTGTGGTAAACATAATTAATGAAGCACTGCAAAGCAAATGAAAGCATCGTTTTTTTAGGACGTAAACAATAGGAACTTAGCATTTATTATGGTTTTTTTTTTTCCTCAGAGTAGAAAAAAAGTTTACTGAGTTCAGTGCAAGGGAGCTGGAGGCAGGGCAGAAAAAGAACTGTTTGCCTCATTTGATTTCTAAGCTATGCATTTTTAATTTATTTGAGCTCTGCTTAAATCCATTTGCAAAGCTAATTCAGTTATAAACTTCACAAATATTGCTGAATATGCCACTCATGTATTCTATGGCTATACATGTGCACAAGTCTATCTGTACTTCCTATATGTCCACATGTGAAGGGACACATGTCCAGGATCAGCTATGAATGTGCAGGTGGGACCAGCAGCAGTTTTCTCTGCCACACAAACCCACTTGACAATGATGAAGGAAAGCACTGGATCTTGATACTAAATAAGCCAGGATGATTTAAAGTCTATTTAAAAAAATCAAAAAGGGTATGCCTGCATGTATGTAAGTGCACCCATGCTGTGCAATGCCCACAGAGGACAGAAGTGGGTTTCAGGTCCCCTGGAACTGGAGCTAAGACTGCTGTGAGGCACCACATGATTCTGGGATTCAAACCCAGGTCTTCTGCAAGAATAGTCAGTGCTCTTAACCCAAGTCATCTCTCCAGCCCCAATTTTAACAATCTTTGAATGTTCAAGTCACAAACTTATAAGAGGTTGGCAAGCTCTACTCATGGCTACCTCTGGCTCACTGTGGAAGGATAGGGTCCAGGAATCGCAGTGGGTTCTGCTGACGAGCTGCTTTCACACCTGGAAGCCCTCAGTACACCAGATACCACAAAACCCCAAATATTTATCATTTGTATATTTACTGAAAAATCTTGTCAAACTCTGACCTGCACTGGTAAAGACTTCCTGCCATCCAGAGTGAGTGAAGCCCCAAGTTCCCTGAATCAGCAGCCTGGTGCTGAGGCCCACCTTCCTCCTGAGCCAGCTATGACACTGATTTTCGCACGCTTCACTCGAAACTAACTTCTCTACACTGGTGTGGATCACAGCCCGCACCCCTCCCCCATGACACTTTTCTCTGCTTCCCTTTACAAAGCTATCCTTTCTATCTGACCAGGCTAAATAGTATATGAATGATTCAAAGATTAGGATTCCATTATTCCTAATTCTGGGAACTCATCAAATTGGATGAATGTGTTTTCCTCCTCCTCAAATACACCATGTTTCTAAAATGAATTCCCCTTTGCACAGTCCTGATTTAGTTATCAGTGCTATAAAGCTGTGCCTCATTTTCTAGTGCTCCAAACATTCTGCCCTGTCTCTTATTCACATATTTCTTAATATACAGCACACATAGGTCAGCTCACAATGCAGGGTTTTTGCACATTAAGATTCTGGATTGAGTCTACCGCACATCACCCATTTTACCTAAACTACTACTAGCTCACTATTTTAAATTTATTAATGAACATGCTGCACCCATCACACTATGTAGACTTTGTTTTGTTTTTAATATTTATTATTTTTATTTTATGTGTATGCATGCATTGCCTGCATGTAGGTAAGTGCACCCGTGTCGTGCAATGCTGACAGAGGACAGAAGAGGCTGTCGGATCCCCTGGAACTGTAGTTACAGACAGTTGTTAGCTGCCATGTAGGTGCTGGGATTTGAACCTGGGTCTTCTGCAAGAACCACCAGTGTTCTTAAGCTCCGAGCCATCTCTCCCGTCTGTTTCATTTTTGTTTGAGACAGGTTCTCAGTATGGAGTTCTGGCTGGCCTGAAACTGGCAATGTAGACCAGGCTGGCCTCAAACTCAGAGACTGTCTCTGTCTCACAAGTTCTGGGACTAAAGGCATGCGCCACCATGCCTGGCCCTATTTAGGCTATTAATGAACCAATTACTCCTTCAGCAAGTATGTATTAAGGGATTTCCATGTTCAGGTACTAGTCCAGACACAAAGAATTACAGTACTGAGTCAGAAAGACCAACCCCTTGCCATAGAGTGACTCACAGTCTAGTTGGAGAAGTCAGATAGCAAACTGATCCACTATTATAAATGACACACTGTATGCAGTCAGGGAGCTGTGGAGTTGGATGCACAGAAACTAGCAGTGTGGTATCTGAGACAAGTAGCTCCCATGCTAATACAAGATGGGAGTGGCAGCTCCGAAGAACGCTACCTGAGCAAAACCAACCACCAAAGGAATAGGTTACCCATGCATAAAAATGGCAACCAAAACAGCCAGAGAAAGCGGCTTGCCTTCATGGATATTAAATTGCTAAATTATCTACAACTGACTGTTTTTGACCGACAGGGCTCCTTTCCATCCAAAGAGACAGCATTAACAGAACAGCAGAAATGGGCATATAGGTATTTTTAGAAATAAACTGAAGGGTGGACATTCTTTAGATTTTTAATTTAACACACTGATGTTATGTTATCAGGAATATCTAAACAATGATCCTGAAACCTGACAATAATATGGATCACAGGTATAAATGACTGGGGTGCAGATGAACACTACCACCCAGAACAGTAAGCAGCATGGCTTTATCACAAAATTATTTAAAATTCCCAAGTATTTTACATTCATAATCTAAAGATCTTAAAGTAGAACTAAAGAGATGGTTCAGTGGATAAAGCACTTGCCCAGCAAGTGTAATTGACTCCCCAGAGGCCGTGTAGAAATAGGGCAGGCACAGTGGCCACCTGAAGTCCCAAGTACTTGGAAGGCAGAGACGGGGTCCTGGGACAAGCTATACTATCCATAATTGGTGAGCTCTGGGTTCAGTAAGAGAAACCCTGTCTTAATAAAAAATGGAGGGCAACTAAGGAAGACATTCATGCCAACTTCCAGCCTGCACACAAATATGAACCCACATGAATTCCTACATGTGTCCACACAAGTGAACATATATGCACATAAACATGCATATCATATACACATATACGTGCAAGAAAACCTTAAAAGATGACTTCACATAAAATTTTTTGTTAAAGATTCTGAATTGTAATTATACATAAACATGTGTCTGTGGTGGGGTTAGGGTATAACTGCCTACAGAGGCCACAGAGGGCATTAGATCTCTGGAGCTGGAGTTAAAGGCAGCTGTGAGCTGCTTAATCTGCACTCAGGTCCCCTGCAAGTATAGCACACATTGCAACCCACTGAGCCATTTTTCCAGTCCCATCATGTAAATTCTTATAGGACACGCCTTCCATTTTTATAATTTAAGAAACCAATGCTTTTTAAAAATAGTTAACACTACTGATATTGGGGTCAGAGAGATGGCTCAGAGGTTGAGTGCTTCATGTTCTTCCAGAGGACAAGAGTTCAGTTCCCAGCACCCACAATGGTTAGCTCAAAATGCCTTTAACTTCACCTTCATGGGATCAAGACCTCTCTGGTCTGAGGGACTTGCACACCAGTGGTATACACTCAGACATACACACATCCACATAAAAATTTAAAAATAAATCTTTTAAAGACACTACTGATGACAGTTAACTTAGCATATCAATTCATCCCATCAATCAAGTAGCATAGTAAACTTAAGGTGGGCATGGTGGCACATACGCCTTTAATCCCAGCACTCGGGAGGCAGAGGCAGGCGGATCTCTGTGAATTCAAGGCCAGCCTGGTCTACAATAGTGAGTTCCAGGACAGCTGGGGCTACAGGGAGACCCTGTCTCAAAAAGACCAAAAACAAAACAAAAAAAAACAAAAAAAACCTTTATTTTCCTGCAGATTGATAGGATGTAGTATGTGTTTATGAAGTGGGATGAATTTTTTACACTCTGTGTGTGTGCCACAATGTACTTGTCGAGGTCAAAGGACAAGCTTGGTTGTTGGTTCTTCCCTTCCACCTTGATTGACTAGATCTCTTGTGGTCCATCATGTCTAGCTTTACGTGGATAGTGGGGATGCAAACTCATGTCTTCATACTTGCACGGCAAGCACGTTACCCATTTGAGCCAACTCCTGGCCCTAATGGCATTTTAATGAAATCCCTATTTTGAGAGTAATATGCATTCACAGAAACCATTCAACTGAAAGTCTACAAAATAACCATGATCATTTTTTAACTTAAATACATAAAAAGAAACGGGAAAGAAATGATTATAGTGACTTTTGTTTATTGAGGGGTAGGGGGTGGTCTTATGTAGCTCAGGCTAGCGTTAAACTTGCAATGTAAGCAGGATGACCTTCTAAGTGCTGGGATTAAAGGCATGTGTCACCACACTCAAGAGGTGATCGTGGTGTTAAGCACTGGGTATAAATGGAATGCCAACCGAAGAGCAAATGAAAGAACACAGGTAGGTACTTGTGCCTGCACTCAAGCGGAACGGTGCCAGCCAACAGCATCCTCTGATAAGACTGGCAATTACAGGCACAGCATCAGGGGTGGTTCTGGACTGCACACTGGTATATCCAGATACCCCCAAAATATTGCTCAAGCTTTTTCTTTCCTTTTTAGAGGTCTCCCCGTAGACCAGCTACCCTGGTCCTGCCACGTAGACCAGGTAGGCCTCGATCTCACAGAGGTCTGCTGCCTTTGCTTCTCCAGTGCTGAGATTAAAGGTGCATGACACAACATCCAGCTTTTGCTTAGGTGTCTTAAAATTTCCCTAGCTGAAATAAGCCATAGTAACACTCCCATCTCCCTGTACCCATCTTGATTTATTATCCTATAGATACCCAAGGTAGCTGACTCCACTACAGTGTGGGTTAGCAGCACAGTTCTAGCTGCGAATCCTTTTCAAGCCTTTAGAAAGCAATGCGACCACCTTAGATCCTTTAGATCCTCATGAGTTCATGAAGTTTTTTCTGTCCATTTCCAACTATATAGGTTAAACCTCAGTCTCTCCCACCACTCAGAGTTTAACCCACCAAAGTAAAAAGTGGCAAGAAGCCAAACAAGTGATCTCAGCCTGCTGAACACTGTGGGAATATTCTCATGCACATCAACAACTTTGAATTGCTGCCATTTTCTTTTGCTCAGCAAAGTGGTGGCCAGTGTCCTGTCTGTGTCCTTCCAGGGTACCCTTGGAAAGAAGGCTGTAGAGAAATCAAATCAGAGCCATCTGCCGGTGCTGCAAGGCACTGTCAGGAATCTGTTGAGACCTCCAGCAAATTCCAGTATAAATATTTTCATACCACATTCACAGAACTAGAACTGAGTGGTTTCAAGTGCAGGCCCACAGGATATGGCATACTGGAATGTTAATACAGGATTTGGGGGCCTGAGAGATGAGTCAGCAGTTACAAGCACAGGCTGCTCTTGCAGGAGACCTGGGTTTAGTTCCCAGTACCCACATGGTGGCTAACAATGGTCCTTTAACTCCAATTCCATGGCATCTAATGCCCTTTCTGGACTCCATGGGTACTACACACATGTGGTACATCTACATACATGAAGGCAAAACACACACACACAAAATAAAAATAAACTGAAAAATCATTACCAAAAAAAAAAAAGTAGAACTGGGCATGGTGGCACATGCCTTTAATCCCAACACTCAGGAGGCAGAGGTGGGTGGATCTCTGTGAGTTCAAGGCCAGCCTGGTCTACATAGTGAGTTCCAGGACAGCTGGGGCTACAGGGAGACCCTGTCTCAAAAAGACCCCCCCTCAAAAAAAAGTAACAGGATTTGGACTCAGATCTAGGACTGAATCAAGGCGCAGCCACTTCCTCTTGTGTGATCTTGGGCTAGCCTGTCGAGACTCAGGTTTCTGAAGAGTACACATCTACTAAGGCAGCTGTAAAGAACAGAAATAATATATTTAAGACACTTAACACAGGGCCCCAGTCTTTCAGTTAATGCCATTATGAACAGGAAGTTCTCCATAGAAAAAAATCTAGTGTTAAAGCTGTAACTCAGATAAGCAATAGCTTATTTTATTACCATCAAGTTCACAGAAGTGATCCTGTGAGTCATCGTATCTTGCCCAGTCAATGAATGCTTCTTTGCTTTGATTACTATGGGAAGGAGGAATAAAACCAAAGAAAAGCAATTAAATTTTAGTTGAAATTCTAACACTATATACTCATGTAATTAAGCCAGGGATCACTTCTTTATGTCACACTCTGATGGCAGTTAAATGAATAATAAAACAAGTATATGAAAAACACACAAACTTACATGCATCATTTTAAAATTTTCTAACTACATTAAAATTATTAGCCCCAGTTAAATAATTACTTTAATTTACACATACATAAAACAAGTAAACACAAAAATCAAGGTGATCATTTCAACGGACATACAAATTTTGTTAATTTTTATTTTTCCTGAAGAATTCAATTTACTTTTCAGAACAATTTAAATTGCTTCTATACTTATAGGACCCCAAATACAAAGAACTACATTTCATTTATATGTTTATGCTGCTCAGGATCAAACCCTGCATGCCAACAAGTACTCCTACAAGTCAGCTGCATCTCCAACCTTGTTTGTGTTTTTTACTGAGACACGGTTTCACTGTGCAGCCCCAGCTGGCCTGGAACTTGGTATGTGGCCTCAAACTCAAAGGGGCTCTCTTCACCTGCCTCCAAGCACTGGGATTAAAGGTGTACAGCACACTCCCAACAGACCCCTGCTTTTTTGAGGCAGGGTCTTGGTACGTAAGGTGGCCTCAAACTTCCCTCTTGCCCCCTCCTCCCAAATGCTGGGGTTTCAGGTGTGGGCTAGCATGCACGACAAGAACTACGTTCTCCCTCTCCCAGTCCAAATTGTATATTTCAGGTCACCAATCACGTTCTTGTGGCTTCCCATTCACTTTATACTCCGCTTCACATTTTTAAGAGTCTGTGGTAATGATTTCTAACTTGAAGAACTAGTAACAACCAACCACATTCATTCAAACTGCCTCTGACCTCCACCAAGCTCTAATCTGTATGCAGGCGTCCCTCTCTCTCCAGCCCCACTGTATTTTTTTTTTTTAAGGGAAAGATAAAACTTCACACAAGATAATGAAAAAATGTACATCACAGGTTATTCAGCTGGAGTGCATGTAACAGAAACAAACAACAAACCTAAGACCTAGTAAAATGATAGAACTACTGAGTTTGGATAAACCTTATGTTGAAAACAGAGAAGTCCATCTGAGTTAAATTCCTATTAATGGCTCTCAGTGTGAGGGGCTCACAGTGACCCTTTTCTTGGAGCAACCTTGCTAGTACGGCTTTGCTGATTATTTCATCTAATGCTCACCTGGAGCCACTGTGCAAGAAAAGACCTCATCCAGTTGCTAACAACTGTCACAGCTGGACTCATAAACAAGCCAGAAGACCTGAGGTCCTCTACTCCAGCTTTTCAAGAAGTCAGTGTGTGAGAGGAAGGCAAAGCTCCTTATATAACACTAGCTTGGTTTTAACCTGATGCTTTCATGAAGATGTTCCATGACTCAGGGAAGAGACTACATGGAGATTTCAGAGACATGAGGACACAGGGTGGCAAGTGTGCATGGACATAAGGATTGTCTTAACTGTGATTTCAATTTATGCCACACATCAAGTCATGTCTACTTTCAGTATGTGCTGTGCACTGCATATCAATATACCTTAAAATAAAGTTTAAAAATTGTAAGACCAATTGCCAGGAGTTGCAGAACTAGGATTTCTTCCTTTCCTTTTTTTTTTTTTTTTTTTTTGTGTGTGTGTGTGTGTGTGTGTGTGTGCGCGTGCGCATATGCCATGGTTGGGTGTGGACTCAGAGGACAGCGTTTTGGAAGTCAGTTCTCTCCCTCCACTTTGTTTTGAGGCGAGGTTGCTCTTTCTGTTACTGCACTACACATTCTGGGCTAGCTGGCCCCTGGGCTCTAGCCTATCCTCCTGTCTCCACCTCCTATCTTGCTGTAGTGCCGAGATTACAGATGTGCACCACTGCATCTGGCTTCTTATGTGAGTTCCAGGGATCAAACTCAGGTTGTCAGGCTTGTGCAGTAAGTGCTTTTATCTGCTGAGTGGTCTCCCTGGCCTGGAAATAGGAACTGTTGTATACTACTAGAGATGATGCAATGTGTTATAGTAATTTTGGGAAACTATTAGGCAGTACTTAATTCTACTTCTACAAATATTCTCCTTAGCAATGCATATATGTACTACCTACATGTTTTTGAAATAGCTATAATGTGTAAAGCATCCAGCTATCAATAGTAGGATGGAATATTATGTAGCAATACAAAAGTATATATATGCTCAAGAACATATACATTTTAAAGGGGGAGGGTACAAGCTGGGTGTAGTGCCCCATACCTGTGTAATCCCAGCACTGAGAAAACGGAGGCAGGAGGATCATGAGTGGCAGGCTAGCCTGAGACCCTGTCTCAAAAAAAGAAAGAATATATTTATATTACTCCATTTATATAAATAAGCAAAACTAATTTCTGCCCATGTAACTCAAAATCATGATGAATTCTGGAAGGTGGTAACAGCTAGAAAAATTCACATGGTAATCTGGGTAACAAGGATGTACTATTCTAGATTATCATTCTAGATTATGGTTGGAGAGGTAAGTTCACCTTGTAAAAAAAATAAACTTTATATTTACATAGTTAACATTTGTCTTGTCTGCACATTACATGTAAACTTAAGTTACAAATAACTTCTGTAACAAAGGATTAGAAATAATATACATAATGTCTACAAATCAATAATCACTTAAAAACCCAACCCTCAAGGGGAAATGAGAAAGAACACAAACAGGCAGTTTACCCCAGGACTTGCAAGGATATAAGCCTAGTCCCTAGGCAATTTCTCTACTCTGGAATCTAGCTCAGGTTTATGGCTGTTCAATATTCACAGACTAAATCCCAGACTACTCACATGTCCAACTAGGTATTTCTCACAGCAGCTCAAAATGAAGCCTGAAGTTGAACTCTGGTTTTCCATCATACCTATTCCTTCTACTTAGGTCCCAGCTCAGTAAGTGGAAGCTCCACCTCTAAAGGGGCAAATCTGCAGTCACCAGAAAGCTGGCCTTTTCATGACTCAGACTGAATCCTTCAGCAAGCCCTGCCGCTTTATCCGCAGACACATCCAACTGTCTTCACCGCTATCACCCATCCAACGCCTGTCCCGCTCCAGGGCCTGTGCCCTGGATGGATCAGCACCTTCATCTGTGACACGGACCTCCTGCACCCACCTTGCTCCTATGTTCCAGCTCCTCCCCTTACTGTTCCTTCCCTCGGGTTAAAGGCAGTATTCATCACAAGTGCCTGCAAGGCTCAGCACACACTCCACCTTCTGACATCATCCCTGGCATCTTCTGACTCTGTCTCCTACTACTTGGCCCTTGATGGCTGTGTGACAGCTGCAGTGGCCTCCACTAATACTTCAGTCACCTAGGTTACCAGGCAGCCATATGACAGCTCAGCTCCTCACCGTCTTCAGAGCCAGGCTCGAGTGTCCTGTTTTGACTTGGTTCTTCCCCAACCACTCAATCAGAACGTGCCACCCTCTCATGCTCTACTGTCTGAGAAACTCAGCTGCCAGATACAGAGATGAAAAAAGTGCTCCAGCTCACCAGCTGTCACTACTGCAGGCTAAACAAAGTGGGACATTAGTTCAGAATCATCAAACACTGTAGCTTCTGAAGAATGGGGAAGACAAGTCCTCTGCCCTGGAGACAACGCACGTTGGCACAGGCACTCTGAAGGCCACGGGTCAACACCAAGACTGGCTCTGAGAGACAATCCCTGAAGAAGCTGCTCACTGCCAGTGAGAGAGCTGCAGCATTCAGGAAGGCTCATGGCTTCCAGAGGTTAAAAACAAAACAAGAGCCTAATGTCCATTGGGAAGGGAACAGCAAGTGAAACACCACATTACATGATGAAAACATCTATCTGTTAAAGAATGAGACAAAGGGCTGGAGAGCTGGCTCAGCAGTTAGAGCACTGGCTGCTCTTCCAGAGGACTGAAGTTCAGTCCCCAGCACCCACATGGCAGCTAACAACAGTCTATAACTCCAGTTCCAGGGGATCCAACTCCCACCTTCTAGTCTCTTTGGGCATTGCATGACCTAGGTACACTTATATACATGCACACAAAACACTCATACACATAAAAAATATAAAAAAAGAATGAGACAAATCTATTTCACAATAAACCTAAAAAGCAAATTTACAATCAAGAAAAAGTTTCCAGGCATAATAAAAAATGCCTTTAATCCCAGCGCAGAAAGGAACAGCGTGTGTGTGTTCAAGGACAGTCTGGTCTACATAGTGAGACCCTGCCTTAAGAAGGTGCAGAATTTTAAATGTAGTACTACACCATGTATATAAGGAAAACTAAAACTATGTAAGTATAAATATATATGATAAGGACAAAAACATGGATGACTATATACCAAATTCACAGTAGCAGTCACCTCTAAAGACAAAGGAGAAAACAGGGTTAGAGAACAGAGTATAGAGTATACAGTATTTTAAATTTATCCACAATGTTTCTTTTTTTTTAATAAAAGGCAAAGGGGCTATAGCTCAGTGATAGAGCACTCACCTAGTATGAGTGAAGCCCTGGGTCAGTCCATAGCACTACAAACAAATATGACATGGAATGTGGCATTTGTGTATTAAGACTTTTCTTTAGTAGGCTGTTATTTTGTGTAACAAACATACAATAAAGGCTGTTAGCTTCACATTGGTAGCAATTACAGCGCACATACAAATCTAAACAAAGAGGAGTTTCTGAAATACTGCCTTCCGGACTGCAGCTGCACTCGATCACGTTATGCTGTGTGATCTGAGGTTATTTTTGGATTACACTGGCTGTCAGCAGCGTGCTTCTGTGTAAAACAAGTAGGAGAAAGTCAGCAGAGAAAGACTGGGACTTGAATCACACTGGTGGCAGCTCTCAGGGTTCATGACCATCACAGAAGGCGCAGGAAGCTCAAGGTCCTGTCCACAGGGTGCTAAGAACGGACCATCGGCACTGCAGGGTGAGTAACCTCTGACATTTCTGCGTTCTAACTGGTTTATTGTTGATGATAATTTCTAACAATTTAAGCACAAATCAGCCAAGAGGAGGCAAAGGTTATGGAATTATGGACTCTTTCTTTTTAAAAGTTTACTAGTTGAAAACGCAATGGTTAGCAAACATGTTCTGCCCAAATCACAAAAACTGATGGGAGACCACACAAGACACTGCTCTTACAACAAACTTGCCTCAATGTGCTGTTCACAGCTCCCAGTTTACTGGCTTGCTCACAGTCTTCCAGTTCTTTGGTATTATTTGCTGCTTGCAAGTACTGTGAGGAAGTTCATAAGAAGTGAAGTGATAATTACCATCTTTTTTAAAGTTTCCATTAGCAGAACAATCTGTCAATAACATTCATTAAATATAGACACATCCTATAACCAAAATCTTTAGCATAGGTATGACTACTAAAAATGAGGCATGAATTTCTACCCACTAAGTAAGTAAAGCATTAAAAATTGAACAATTAGCATGAGTGCTGACATAAATACGCATCTAGTGTTATAAAAATGCACAAATCCTTAAAACTGCAGTCTTATAGCTAGAATCATATCCCAAGGCAACACTTGGTTTTAGTTACAACTATCTTACGTTCCGTGGCACCATGTTGACATGCTGAGACTGGCAGACCCAGGGTCCAGCCATCTTAGCTCTGCACACTCTCCTAGGGAAACTTCCATGGGCACACAATGAGACAAGGAACAAGAACACCAGTGCGAGAGCAGACAGCTGGAAACCACTGAAAAGTTCACAGCAGGGGGTGGCTGCTGTGTCACTGCCACACAATGACCATCAAAGAGATGTGAGGGCAAAGGCACAAAATGTGCGCATGTCAACAGAGAAAGACGCTCAGAAGCAGAAGATGAGTAAAAAGGCCCTGAAAAATATTTAACCCGAGAAATGCAGGTAAATATTGTCTTCAATTTTCCACAAAAATAATCTACATGTTACTGTGTTGTGGATCCACGTGCACTAAAAAGTATGTTGCTTTTAGACAGATACATAGTGGTAACAGCAGAACCACATGAGCGGCTCTGGGGAAGAGGAAGAACAGGGTGAGGTAGGAGGTGCTCAGGGGTTTCAACACTTCCTACAGCGTCATTTGCTATAGCCTTGAAACCACAGTGAATACATCAACGTGAGCACAATACGTGGGGAGATGGCTAGAACCAGGAGACAGCACATGAGAGGAAGGGGAGGACCCTCATGGTGTACATATAGCAATGGAAAATGAGAGCAAACTGGGAGCTAAAAACATTCCACTTGTAAGGAGAGAGCAGAGAACACCTCAACAAAGTACCTGGTCAAAACATCCTGGCAATTATTGTCTTTGTACAACATAATCCTGTATCTAACAGGTAGACCTGCTAAACGGGATTAAACATAGCTGTGGATGAAGCACCTGGTGAGTGGGTGACGCTGCTGCTACAGCTCTAGTTTAGAGATCTTCTAGATAGACAATCCACGAACGGAAGTAATTTCTAAAGAAGCTAGGCACCCATGAGCTCTCTGCTTGGGAGCAGGAATTCTCAGGCCAAGCATCTCCATTTTGGCTTTACTGCGCTCACTAGGCAGTTGTGTAAGTACTAAACACAACTACACAAACTAGAAATGTTTAAGAAAAGTCACTCACCTTATTTGAATGCCCAGCTTTAATTCCAACTGGAATTTTACTCTTAAAAGAAGAAAAATAACATTACTTACAAAATAGTAAGAAGGGACAGCTGTTACCACTAGGGGAAAAGAAAGGGAAGGGAAGAAAAAGAGTGAACTCTAACCATGCATGTGTCCCATCTCCTAGGCTGCGAGTTCATTTTTAATTTATGTGCATGCATGTTTGCCTGCATGTATGTACGTGTACCATATGTATGCCTGGTGCCAGCAGCAGCCAGAAAAGGACAATGGATCCCCTGGAACTGGAGCTACAGAGTCCTGTGAGCAGCCATGTAGGTGCCCAGGTCTTCGGCAAGCGCAGCAAGTGCTCTTAACCTCTGAGCCACGTTCCATGTCCTGTTGTGAGTTATTACTCAAATTACTACCTCTGCTTACTAGTAGTTTAACACAAAATTGGCTATAATGCATTGTAGACAGCAAATAGTTGATTATTTTAACTTATTAACTAAACACTCAATTTAGAAACACGTTATGAGCCAGCCAGGCCTTGTGGTTCATGCTTACAATCCCAGCACTCAGGAGACTGAAGCTGGAAAAGTCCAACAACTCAAGGTCAGCCTAGATTATAGGGTAAGACCCTATCTCCCAGAATACCCCCCCCGACACACACAAAGAGGATGCATCAAAGCTGAATTAGACAAGTGTGGCCAAATAATGAACTCCTAATATTCAGCAGTAAGAGAACAGTTCTGATTAAGACTAGGCAGAGCAGACGCAGCTCTGTAGCAGGGCTCTTACTTATTAACGTGTGTTAAGGCCTGAGTTCTGATCCCAGCACCACAAGAAAAAATAAAAACTGATCCAGAGAGACTGAAAGGACAGGACAACCAAGCACAGTATTCAGTTCTGGCTGGACTCGAACAGTGGTAAAGCACAAGCACACAGTCAGCTGACAGCGCTGACCAAGCTCTACCAGTTAGGGTTAGTATGTATCAACACTGATTTCCTGATTTTGTTACTTTTGCTACAGCTATCTAAGAAAAAGTCTTGCTTCTAAAGGATCACGTCTGTAATACATTCAAATGGTTCAGGAAATAGGGAGACGGAGAGAGTGAAGCAAACAGGAAGAGCATGAACAGTCAGATAGTGCGGTCTTAAAGGTTATGGGGTGTGGTGGTGCACTGTGTTATTCTCAGCACCTGAGAGGCAGAGGCAGGTGAGTATGGGGCAAGCCTGGTCTTCATAGTGAGTTCTAGGCCAGCTGAGCCTACAGGGAGACTCTCTCAAAAAGACCAGTCTTTGGGCTCCTCTGTACTATTCTTACAACTCTTCCGCCAGTCTGGAATCATTTCAAATTAAAAACACTTTTAAATGCATGTTTTATTCTGGTTGAAAATTGAAGATCATTTTAAAGAATCTTCTGCTTAGGACAACACTGGGCCAGCTGCTCTTTTAAAACCATTTTAAAGCCCACAAAACAGACTGATTTGGTAAGAAGAGCAAGAAGTGAAATAAACTTAGCTTGCAGAAGAACCTAATTATGTCAGTACTGAAGTCTCAGGACTGCGAGGGACAGCTCAGGGGCAGAGTACCTGGCTAGCTGTGCAAGCTGTGGATTCTATCACCTGTGCCTATGTGTTCTCTCTCTCTTGTCCAAAAGAACATTCCTTTGATCATAAATATACCCTTTCTCTTTTTTTGTTTTTTAAAAATATATTATTTTTATTTTACATGTATGAGTGTATTGCCTGCATGTGTGTAAGAGTACCTGTATTGAACAATGCCTACAGAGGTCAGAAAAGGGTATTGGAGCCCCTAGAACTGGAGTTACAAATGGTTGTTAGCTGCCATATGAGTGCTGGGAATTGAACCTGGGTCCTCTTCACGAGCAGCCAGCGCTCTTCACCACTGAGCCACCTCTTCAGCCCCTGTACCCTTTTTTTTTTTAATTTTTACAAAAACTTTATTGAGAATTTCAAACATGCATATAAGGTGTTTTGACCAAATCCATGCCCACTCCCTCCCCTCCAACATTCCTCCCTCTGAAGAGATAACCCTAAAATCTTTTAAGGATTAGATAAGAGCTCCCAAATTCTTTTGTCATTTTTGGCGTTCGGAACAGAGTATGTTGCTAAGAGCCCCAAGGACATTGCGACTTTTAGCCAAGAAACTGGGTACTTTTCTTTGAGGTCTTTTTACACTAACTGCCTAGCCAATTCCTACCCTATTCTTATCATACCATCCTCTGAAGAGGTTACTCAACTTGCAGATAGACAATTGGGACACAGACCACTCTGGCTTCTTCCATGCTCAACAGGGACGCAGGGTGAGGCAACTGGAGTACCCCTTCAGTGGGTCTATCTAAAAAACTCCCAAATTGTATAACTCTTGTCTCTAAGGGGAGAAGAAAGTCCTTGACTGGTGAATAGGAGATGTGAAGGAGAAGTAAAGGCAAGAGTAATTAACATTACAAGTTCTAGACAGGGAACTAGAAAAAAAGTCAGAACAGGGCAATTTTCAAATGTTCATATGAGAGTCCACTGGAGTTTCCTGACAAGGACTTCCAAAAGCATCCCTTTATTGGGTTCCTCCTCATTTTTATTTTGTCTTTCAAGGCTGGACTAGCTGGCTGGGAAGAGTGGCTGGAAACTCAGGTGAAGGTCCAGGTTCCCTGCTTGGCCCTCCTTTAATGAATGAGCACAACCATCAACAAGCCCAATTGTGACTATACCCTTCTTCTTTGAAAAAAAAAAAAAAAAAAAAAAAAAGCAGTAAGGGGCTACAGAGCTGGCTCAGTAGTTAAGGGCACTGGCTACTCTTGCAGAGGACCCAGGTTCAGTTCCCAGCACCCACATGATGACTAACAACTGTCCATAACTTCAGTTCCAGGGGATCCAACACCTTCTGACCTGTGCAGGCAATGCAAGCACATGGTGTACTGGTGTACTTACACACATACAAAATAAATTTTTAAAAATGTTTTAAATGCAGTAAGACCACATGAAAATTTTTCTAAGCCTAAAATTTTCCCACTGAAATATCCATTCTAAACTTGAAATTTAAGATCCAGAATTTTTTTCCACCTATGAAACAAGATACAGATTCAATGTAGCATTAAATAAAAGCCAACAGTGGGTCCGATCCTACAACTGGCCTTTTCCTTCCACTGTTGAAGCAGACTTAACACCCCATCACTAATACCACTGGACACCAGCATACCTGAACCCATCTAGTGCAATACAGAGCAGACCTTCCAGAGTCTGGTGCTAAGAGCTGAAAGCGCATGGATCTGCCGGTAGGTCCGACACTGACAAGCCCCTATGCTGATTTAAGGTGTGGAAGAAGCACGTCCCCCATTATTCTAGTTCTACTTGCTGTACCTCTGGACAGGGCTCCACATGGCAGTCTTTTATTGAGCAGTGGCCATCATCTGCCCAGAAAGGACATGGTCGCTTCAGATTAACCTTGAGAGAAAGAACAAACCAGCATTAGTGAACACATGATAGTCACAGAAGGCACCAACATCTGTGCAGTGGTGAGAAGGAAAAGCTTCCTGACCCTCTCTGGCACACACAGTTCAGACATGAGGTCACCGCAGCTCTTCAAGCACCCAGATGAAATGTTAATTCTTAAAACAAATGGCTATTAATTCTCTGGCACTGAAAAAGAGGAACATTCAAGTTCAGTGCTCATCTGAAGCACTGCTGTTAATAGGGGCATTTCAGGGGTGGCTTTATCATCCCCCAGGATCCCTGCCGCCTCCTTACCATCAGGGTTCCCTTGTACATTCACTCCCTTAGCCAGAGTGTGCTATCCAGAAGACACTAAGCAAGTCTCAAGGAGAAGGGGAGGCAAAGGAGAACTTCCTCCCCTAGACCTGAAATCTCCTGGAGAAAGCAAACATTTGCATGCTTTATTTCATAACAAATTATTGCAAAGAAGAATCCAGAGTTTTATAATAGTGGAGCTGCTGGACAGAAGACTCTGAGGGGTTGTATTTTAGGATGAAAGGTGGGTGGTGTGCATTTTGCTGAGGCAATCACGAGCTTTGGACGGTGCTGGAAGCTGAGAACCACCAGTTACACCATCTAGTGAGAAAAAAGAAGTGGAGAGGCAGGCCAACGGAGTGGTCACACGGTAAACAGAGTTCCACATTCTGTACCTAAAGGAAAGATGGCAGTCCGACGGGGCTTACGGATACACTGCCAAGACAAAATTCAAGTTTTCTGCTTCGCCCCATTTTTTCTTCCCCTTTGCTCTAGTTACATTCTCACCACCTGCACTGATCACTTGTCTCTTGCCTAAGCTAATGCAATGGTTTCCTCCTCCTACCAACACTGCACCCAGCAAGTTAACGCAAAAACAGCAGGTCCTCTGGAAACTGTTACACTCAGTGAAGTAACTCAGGCTCAGAAAAACAAACAATGTACATTCTCCCTCATATGTGGCTCCTAGAACCAAATCGTTTTAAATTCCAGGTCCTTTTAAAAAGATGATGCTAAGAAGGGTATTATTAAGGGAGAAAGGGGGGAAATGGGGGCACCTTAAGTGGGAAAACTATAGTGGAGGGGTGAAACAATACGAGAGATAAATAATGCCTAGCTAGTTTTGAAAACCACAGGGAACCATATTACTCCTACAACCTACTGACAAATTACACATAGCAGATCAAGAAATATATGTCTAAGTAAGGTTTATCTGAGAACAAGTGGTCTTTGCCCAAGATTTATCTACATGACACAGGGTAATTAAAAGTACCAGACTGGTGGAACTAACCTTCTTGGATGTTTAACAGACATATTTTGAGGCCTATACTAATTTAGTGAGAGGGACATAAAGGACGGTTTTTGCTCCTTGCCCTCCTAGGTCGACTAGTTCCAGGGGACTATGAACATCTCCCAAAATGTGCTGTAATTATGGTGGGTAACCTGTCCTCTTGATAAAGGAGACCCCACGAGATGGACTTGAAAAAAGCGTCCAGTCTACAAATAGGAGGGTCAACACAGAGCAATCATTTCCTCCATGCTTCCAAACGAAGCCAGCCATGGTCAAGTAGGACCTTTGACTTACCTTCACATAGGCAGAACTGGTAAAAGAAAGGAGCCAGGGGCTCCTCCCAAGCTCATGTGACCCTGAGGAACAGATCCTCAAACAACCTTAAACACCCAAAAGGAAAGTATAACCAAAGATTAAAGGGGCCAATATAGTTTTCTAAGAGTCCATATATATAGCTAAAGGCTAGATGACAAGCAACAATGCCAGATAGGAGATACCTTCTTTTGAGTTGTTGGCCAGGGTAGCCCAAGGGACTCCCAGATAGTAACTCAGCATAGAATTGGGAAAATGAACAGCAGACCCCAATCTTATCTAAAGGAATATTGACAACTGATTGCTGCTAGATGAGGAACAGTTGACCTTTCTAAAACAAGCACCTCTAGATAGGCTGGGTAGATTCACCAGATGGACTAGTAGTGGGGAATCACTGGGGGTGCAGACAACACAGCAGACAGTAGCAGGGATATCAGAGTATAAGGGCTCTAGTGGGGGGAGGGAGGCTATGGAAGGGTGCCATCTGGGAAGTAGGTGTATAGTTGAATTGGATGGTTTGGGATGTTCTGTGTGATATACACACAAAAAAATAAAATTTTTAAAAATATATTTGAGGAGGAAGCATGGAAATTTACATCATGCT